GGTTTATTTTGGCTCAGTTTCTGTGCAGTCAGCTGGCTCCAAGGAAGGAGGGCAGGGAACAGAGTGCATGGCGGAGGAACAGCTGCTCACCTCGTGGTGGATAGGAAGGAAGTGGGGAGCGAAGGGAGGAGCCTAGAGGGAGATGGACAGGTCCATGCCATGCCCCCACGACTGCTTCTTTTGACCAGGTGCGGCCTCCAAACAGCAAGTCGGCAATGAGCCCCATAATCCAATCACTCCAATCACCCGAGAGCACAGGAGGCTGGACTTGCTGTTTTCCTAACCACCTGGTCCCGCAGGACAAGAGAAGCTTTAGTCCCTCTGATCTCCCGTCACCTCCTACCTGCCACCCTGGGGACCATGCTTCTAACACATGAATGCTTGGGGGACACACTGAACCCACAACCCGAACACAGCAGGGCCGCGGGTCTGGGGTCTGGAGGAGGCTGGCACCGCCCTCTCGCTGGCCAGCAGCAAGGAGACAGGACCAGGGCTGGAAGCGTAGAGGACCGGATCCTCCAGGACCCGAGCGCATTGGGGAAGGACGTGCGCAGTCCTGGGACACCTGGAGTTTAGCTGCTGAGACCGGAGCTGGGCGGGGCGGCTGGAGCAGCTTCTCTAGGAAGTGGTGCCCATGAGGGAGTCCCAAGGATGAATGGGTGAGCGGGGGTCTGGCGGGGGTCTGCTCGGCGGCTGGATGGAGCAAGGGGTATGCTGGGGCAGGGCCAGTGGGCGGGCAGGACGCGGCTTTGTGGATCGTCGTGTTGGAAACCATGAGTGTCTCCCACCGAGCGGAGGAGAGCAGAGTGGGATGTGGGGGGACGCGGGCAGGGGACCCTCACACGGCCACTGTCACACCCGCATGGCAGGGAAGGGAGAAACAGCCGGTGGGTGCGGGGAGAACTGCAAGGCAGAGGCAGAACCAGGGACCGGGTGGGAGCCAGGAAGCATTTAAGCAGTCGGTGTCTGGGGTGTGGGCAGGGGTCCCACAGCACTGGGTGCAGCGCCCCCGCCTGAGCAGCGAGCCCAGCAAGAAGACGGAGGGCAGGATGGGTCCAAAGCCTGCTGCTGTGGCCTAGTTGGGGCTTTAGGCAGCTTTTTCCTCCTTCTCCCCCCCCCCTTTCTCCCTTTCTCTCCCTCTCTCTCTCCCTTCCTTCCTTCTTTTTCTCCTTTCTTTTTTGTCATACTGGGGACTGAACCCAGAACCTCCACCCTGAGCTACATCCTCAGCCCTTTTATATATATTTTTATTTTCACACAGGGTCTTGCTAAGTTGTCCAGGCTGGGTTAGAATTTTCAATCCTTCTGCCTCAGCCTGTCAGAGTGCTAGGGTGACAGGTGTGCGCCCCTAAGCCTGGTTTAAGCAAACTGTCTTAACCTCCCTGTGTCTTGATTTTTCCATCCATAAAATGGGGTAATAGTTGTCAGTTATTAGAATTACTTTTCCTGCCAGAAGCAAACAATGCAGCATTTATACTTTTTTCTTTTCTTTTCCTTCTGTTCAGCACTTCCCAGTCTTCAAAAGACTTGTGACTCTTCTGGGATCTTGTCAAATGCAGCTTCCCATTCGGTTAGCTTCCACATTTCCAGGATGCATCTCACCTGGAGCAGCCAGCTGTCTGCACTGGGGAGGGAGGAGGGGGGAGGGCGGGCCCTGTATGCCCAGCCCTGGCTCCTGCCCAGCGCTGGCTCCTTGTGGGGGTTTGCATTTGACTCACCTTGCGGGCTGGTTTCCCACAGGTGTGGCCCAGCGGCTGAGAGCAAGTGGGGCTTTTTGAAAGTGAAATTTAGCAGCTCCTAGGGAAAACCAAAGCCACCTGAAATCGGGCCCAGAGGTGCTAGGTTTCGGGCTGCTCTTTTCGCCTCGGTGCTGCTCAGGCTGGGCCACCAGCTGTGGCTGGACAGTGCAGCCCCCTGTGGAGACCTCCCTCTGCCTCCAGCCTGTGGGGAACCCCACCCAAAAGCCCCCCTGGAGGCCTCGGGCTTCCCCCTCCCACCCCTCCCTCCCAGCCAGGGGCCTCAGCCAATTCTCAGTGGCCTCTCTCTTCCCAGGGAGCAGGAGGAGCCATGAGCCGGGGTGAACCCAGAGCCCCGGGTGCCACCTCCCTCCAGTTTACACCCTGGCGTGCCCTGGGAAGGCAGGGGTGTCCCTCTTGTCATGGTCAGAGGCCAGCTGAGCATGCTCAGATCCTGACCTGGCCGTACAGTGTGAGCCCAAGCAGGACCTTTGCCAAGCGAGCTGGCTGCCACAGTAACAAGGCCTTCTGGAGCTGCTGGGTTTCACAACAGCAGGTGTCAATGAACTTGACCCCGTTTTCGGGGTTCTTGTAAAGCGATGACATCACAGACAACAAAAACTCCCCAGTGGCGCTGCTGGGGAGCCCGGTCCTGCAGCCTGGGAGGGCTGGGGTGGATACTGGGGTACGGGGCTGAGTCGTGTCCCCACCTGGGCCCCTCTCCATGTCTCACATGATGGAAAATGGGGTCCCCAGTCCTCTACTGGCTTCAGGGAGACCCCGAGGGACAGGTATGCGACACCCTGGCTGAGCCCCCTCAGCCTCAAGGGACAATGAGACAGCGCCCCCTGGTGGCAGGCGGCGGTCACAGACGTGCTGAAGAGCTGCCACCTGCTGCCCAGCACCTGGGTCCTGGGGGTGCCATTATTTACACACGTGGTTTTGTATACTTGCTGTATTTCTTGCCCCCTTCACGCATACACATTATCACTGTTATTTTATTTTGCCGACCCTTCCCTCCTCTCCTCACGGTGTCCATCATGGCGGTCCCTCCCTCGCTCCATTCAGGATCCGACTCCCATGTCCCATTCAGCCATCACTGCTCTGTTCTCGCCATTTTAGAGCATTCTTCGGCTCTTTATGCACGGACATTTTAAAAGAATTCAGGACACTTGTTTTGTAGAAAGTTTGGATTTGATCCAGATTATGGGCTTTGGGTAGGAAAACCTCAGAGGGGACATGGTGTCCTTCTCAGTACCGTCAGGCCTTTTAAAGATAATCAGCCTGTGGTCTAGAGAGAGGTGAGAACTGGGGACACAATGGGGCTCCACTCTCCTCTCTCACGTAGTTGCTGTGTGGCCTTGGGCAGATGATAGTTTCCTCATCTGTAACATGGGGGCTTGGCCTCGCAGGGTTGGGGCACCGCATAAAAGAGGAGTTGGGTGAAAGCAAGCACCAAAACCAGTTCTTCTCTGTCTCTCCACCCTGCCATGGCCCAGGGCACGGTGGCAGGTTGGGGTACATAGCAGATCCCCCTCAGCTGGCCCCAGGCCCCCCAGGAGCCATGGCCCCCTCAGGCTCTGTAGCTGTCAATGAGCTGACGGGCCAGGCGGGGAGGGGGAGCCCAGGGCAGGGCCCAGAATTCCCCCACTCAGCAGCCTAGCAGGGTTGCTCCTGGGAGACGCTGCAGGTCCAGGGGTTGCAGAAGGTCCTGGCAGCTCCCTGCCCTGAGAGACCCTGGGAGTCAGGATGACCTGGGAAGGCTGAAAGCCCTGGGCTCCCGGGAAATGAGAAGAGATGCACCAATGCCTGGAGACTGTGCCTTGCACGTCAAGTTGCTGTTCCTGTGTTTTGCGGTCCTGGGATAGAATCAGGGCCTCCCACATGCTAGATAAAGCTCTACCGCTGAGCTGCAGCTCCCACCCCAGATGTTGGGTTATAGCTATCGTTTTAAGTTAATGGATATGACAGAAGAAAAAGAGCGAGAGAGAAAGAATGATGTAATTACCGCCCACGCACCCCCCTTCTGGCCCATCTTCCCCTTTGTTGCTCTCTGATTACACCAGGGTCCAGCTCAGTCTCCACACTTCTCCCGAGTGTTCAGCTGAGCCAGGCGACCCCTAAACCAGATGGGGGGGGGGTTCCTGCTCCCCCAAACGAAGAGCCCCACATCCCACAGGAGGCCCCTCCTCTCTGCCAGGCAGTGCCTTGGATGCGGAAGACAAAGCGCTAGGCCTGGGGCCCAGCTCCTTCCCCTCCCAGAGTTTCCCATTTTGGGTCTTCCCGAACCAGAACCAGCTTTGGTACTCTCTCCTGTTGTTCCCCAGGAAGAACCCAATTCCTCCCTGGGATCCCAACAGAGAACTTCCGCTTTTGAATCTAATGATGGGGTTCAATGTTCAGAGAGCCCTAGGAACATGTTGGGGAGTCCGAAAAAAAACCCCAAGACCTCCATTGCGCCCCATAAAGACTCCTGAATATGAAAGCTGAAGCCATACTGTCTAGAAGATCATTTAGGGGCCATCTGAATGACGTAGAGCATTTCTTAGGACAAGATATAAAGGGCATCAGCTTCTTGAGAGGCTGAGGCAGGAGGATCACAAATTCAAGGCCAGCCTCGGGAACTTAAGGAGTCCCTGTCTCAGAATATAAATAATAAAAAGGGCCGGAGGTGTAGCTCAGTCACAGAGTACTTGCTTAGCATGCACGAAAACCTGAGTTCAAAAAAAGGGGCATTAACTCAAAAAGAAAAGGTTGATGAGGTGTTCGGTATTAAAACTAAGAACAGCTGTTTATCAAGAGATACCATTAAGGAAATGGAAAGGAGGGAATGGAGGAAGCTGCTTCCAGTAGGTGCAGCCAGCAAAGGGTTTGTACCCAGAACAAAGACAGTAACAAGGAAGGTCAGACAACCTACTTTTTAAAAAATTTGGCATACAAATTTAGCATACAAGTTGGGGGAGGGTGGTTCGAACCTGTGATCCTTGCACTTGGGAAGCTGAGGCAGGAGGATTGTGGAAAGTTTGAGGCCAGCCTGGGCTGCAGAGTGAGTTCAAGGTCAGCCTGAACTACGCACACAAAAGCTATGCTCTCGGCTGGCCACCTGCCATTTGTGACAGTGCAAATGATTCTCACCATATAAGGTTGAATTAAAGAAGCTGGTTGCAAGAGAACAGGCTTTTATAATTTGCTCTCTGGCAAGTACAAAAGCAGACAAAACCAATCTGCTGTGTGGAAGTTGGGTCAGTGGGGACCTTCGTGGCACATGTTAATCCAGGGGAGGGAATAGTGACTGGAGCCCGGTAGGATTGATGGTCCGGGGTGGCACGGCTGGAGGCCTCGGAGGCTTGGGAGTTCTTGTCTGGATTGCCCTTCTGTAACGTGCACTGGGTCTCAGGCCTGACCCTGGCAGCAGGTGGACACTAGGCCTCTAGCAATGGACTGGCTGGAGGGAGGGTGGATGTCTGGGATGTGCCGGGTCTCACCAGCTTCTCTGGCCCTGCAGGATCGACCCCTTGTGGCCACCTGCGCGGGAGACCCCAGCCGCTACTACAACAGGGCTGCAGGGCAGTGCTGCTACCGCTGCTCGACAGGTGAGTGGGGGCTGGGGGTGGGGACAGGGGGATCTTTGCTCTCAGGTTATGACCCTCTGGGGGCATTGGTGAGTGCGGAAAACACCTGACAGTCATCGTCAGAGTTGGCGACAGGGTTTTTATTAGTGCATGTTTGCAGTGGATAGTGATCACTCCTCGTGGGCAGTCGGTCCACGCATGTAACAAATCTCAATTCTGTTTTCATCCCTTTCCTTTCCCTCCCTTCATCTCTCGGTCCCCTTCCCTTTTGCAAAAGATCTTTCTCCATGGTAGGAGAGATTGGTAGGTTCTGAGAGCCATCTCTGAAGTCAGAGGTCTGGGACCGTGGAAGGGTAGGGTCGGCCGAATCAGGAGGCTGGGTTTGTTGCAACTGCTGCCAAAAAGTCCCTCTCTGTGAGTTTTTGTTTTAACTCACAGCTGCCTCTTTGTGAACACTCGCCGAGTGTACTCATCCGGGACGTCAGGAGCAGCGGGTCATCTCATCAGTCGCCCTTACCTTTTTCAGTCTCATATTGCAGCTGAGGTTGCTGGGCGCCCCCTGCACGGTTCAGTAACTTGCCTGGGGTCCCAGAGCTGGGACGTGTGAAGCTGGCTGGGGCCGGAACCCCATGGCCCCAGGGCCTGGACAGCCCACGTCCCCCAAGGGCCCCTCTGTTCTGGGCCTGGAAACCCTGTGCGGTTCTCATCTGCTCCAGCCCAGAACTAGTGTTTGTCCCATCTCTGCACTGCAGAGCTCTTGGGAGAGAGGAGAGTCCTGGATGCTCACCCAGCCCCAGGCTAACGCTGGTGCCTGGGAGGGGCCAGGAAAGCTTTCTGGAACATTCTCCAAATGATACTTAGGCCCAAGGCAGTGAGCAAAGAGAACAAGGTCGTGAGGCATTCTGGTCCCCTGTGGTTATCATCAAAAGTCCCAAGGGCCATGCAGTAGCTGTGGAGGGGTGAGGACCGAGACCAAGCTGTGCTGTGGTCTCCGGTCTCTCGAAACAGAGGTCATTGAGGGAGGAGAGGCAGTCGCTGGGACAGGGGAGGTGGGAGGAAATCTGTGTGGCCGGCTCTGAGCCTGGCGGGACACGGGGGTGGGCGAGCGCGTCTGGAGGGCTTCCTGAGAGGGTAGGGTGGGGACATCTGTCCAGCCTTGCGCTCCTGTCCTGCTGTGGCCAGGGAGGTGACGGGCTGTGACACGCAGGTCACTGGGAGCCGATGTTGCGGGGATGTGGGTGGAGCCCCAGCCACCAGAGCCCAGGAGTGGGGAGCAGAAAAGCTTGGATACTTTCTGTCTCCAGGCAGGAGGCCCAGGAGTGGAGGGGGACAGCAGCGCTCTACTGGCCTTTCCTGCCCTTTGAATGGCTTCACGTTGATTTCAGATTCCTGCTGTTTTCCGGGCTTGGAACTTAATGGTCCCCCAGCCCTGCCCCACCCTCCTGCCATCAGACTGAAGCTGGTGCAAACCAGGCGTTATTTACCCTCCGTCTGGAGGCTGGAAGGAGGTCAGGGTTCCTGCAGGGTCTGATTCCTGTGAGGCTGTCGTCCCTGCTGCTGGCTGCTGTCTCTCCTCTTCCGTCACTCAGGGTGGGGAGCTATCTCTGTCTCTGTCTCTCTGACTCTGTCTCTCTGTCTCTGTGTTTCACTCCCCACTTCCAGTGGATTAGGATTGCACTCTCTTACCCCATTTAACTTTACACAGTACCTCCTAAAATCCCTGTCTCTGAATACGGTTACATGGGAGGTTAGTGTTCGATCACATGGATGGGGGGCAGCATTCGGTCTAGAACATCCCCCTCCCGTCCCCCTCCCGTTGTCCCCCCGTCCATCCCCCATCCCTCTACCTACATTGCTCCTGTCTGTTCTCTCATCTGCTTTTCCCTGCACCATCCTTCCAGCAAATGTTCAGGGCTGGGGATTTAGCTCAGTGGTTCTGTTGCTTGCCTTGCAAGCTCAAGGACCCCAGTTCGATCCCCGGTACCAAAACAAACAAAATGTTCATTGCTTTTGTCTATTTTTTATTTACTTACTTACTTATTTTGCTTGCTATGTGGTGTAGGCTGGCCTTGAATTTGCTAAGTAGCCCAGTCAGGCCTCAAATTCATGGCGATCCTCCTGCCTCAGCCTCCTAAGTGCTGGGATTACAGGTGAGCGCCGCCACACCCAGCCTCCCTGCTTGTTCTTACAGCAAGGCCCCTTGGTGTCTTTCCAGCTCCTTCTGCCCTGTCCTTTCAAGGCTCTGGGCCCATGCGCGTGCCTGTCTCTCCAGGGTCCACTGTCCCCACCTCCTTCCTTGGAGCTCAGCACGAAGAGCGTGGTTCCCACACGCTTCTGCCCCAGTGCTGTGTCCCCTGTGCTCTGTAACTTCCTCGGGGCCCCGTTCCAGCCACCAGGAGAGAGACAGACCCTCCTGCCCACCCCCTCTGACCCAGATTCGGTGGGGGGGGGCAACTTCCTTGGTGGCTCCCGGGGCCCCTCACTTAGAAGCTGTGACTTAGGAAGACCCTGGGAAGTCTGGGGGACACCAGACGCCCGGAGCGGGTGGCGTAATGGGAGGAGTTTTATTGACCCCGTGCTTCCGGGTAAGCCGCAGAGGAAAAACGAAAAACCCACAAAACCCCCTCCTTCCGTGTTTTGGGGAAATTTCTGACATTTTGCCCGCGCTCTGCCGCTCATCAGTGCTCAGCTGTGCGGCAGGGTTTGCTCGTGGGTGGGCGGCGGAGGAAGGAAGCTGGGAGGCCTTAGAGATTCAGAAGTTAGGGCACCTTGGGACCCTTCCCCTCCTTCTCAGCCCTCCGGACAGCTGCGCCCGCGCTCCCCTTACATACTCCTGCGGCCAGGAAGCGCTCTCCTTGCGCCGTAGACAACCACCATTCACAGTGATGGGTGCTGTGCGTCAGCCCCGAGGCTGGGCTCTTTACCCGCTTAGGTCCTTGAAAGGCTTCAGTGTGGCCGTCTTGACCAGACCCCTTCATTGCTTGGATGGACCTCACTGTAGGCCTCACATGCTTCTCTCCTGCTCCCCTGCCATCACCTGTCTTCCCGCAGGGTCCCCAGCCCGGCACAGGGCTTGGTACCTCTTAGGTCCTCACTAAAGTTTTACACGAAGGGAGAATGAATATGGCCTGGTGGCCCTAGCATATTCTTCCTTGTGACATCCCCCTCTGTCATCCCCCACCCCTCTCTGCTGGAGCCAGGTGACCAGCTGTCTCCTGCCCACCCCTCCGGGGTCTCCTCCGTGTTCTCTTTATTTCTTTTCTTTTTGTTTTTGAGACAGGGTCTTGCTATGTAGTTCAGGCTGGCCTTGAACTTGTGGGGATCCTCCTGCCTCAGCCTCCCGAGTGCTAGGATTACAGGTTTGCACCACCATGCCCAGCAGTGTTGTCTTTATTTCATCCTAAAAACTCTGCCAGGAGGATGCTTAGGAGGAAGTATGTGAGTGTGGAGAAAGGAGAAGGAAGCAGGTGGAAGGGGCTAAGACTGGCCCAACAAAACAAGTGTTTATAGAGCCACTGCTGTATGTAGGCGAGGAAGGCAAGGTTCCAGCTCCCAGGAGCTACCCCCAGACAAGAAGTGGCATACTGTGTACAGAGGGAGTCTTGCTCAAATAGAGCTCAAGCCACGTGTGGCAGTGCACACCTGTAATCAGGACTCAGGAGGCTGAAGCAGGATGGTCACTGTGAGTTCAAGGCCAGCCTGAACTGCAGAGTGAGACCCTGTCTCCAAAAAAAAAGCTCAGAGAAGGGGTGGCCTCGGAGGGCGAAAAGCTTCTAGATGGCTGGTCTGTACCTATCTACCCACCTATCCATCCGTCCACCCGTCTGTCTGTCCATCCATCTACCCACCCACTCAACCATCCACCCACCCATCCACCCTTCTGCCATGTGTGGGGGTCCCACCCTCACTGTTGTAAACTGAGCACCAGTAATGAATTGAAGGAATGGAGCTTGGGAAGGAAAAGACTTTATTTGAAAGGGAGAGGTTCTCAGGTGCCCTGCTGAGAACCGAGGCAGGGGACCTCAGAGATGGAGGACCAGTGGGGCTTTGTTACTGGCTGCTTTTATTGGGTGCCAGGGCCCCTTCTCCACCTGGAATGTGTCACAACCTGACTGGCTTCTGGGATGCCCTTGGGTTAAACTGGGCATCCCTTGCCTGGGTGTGGATTGCTGTTAGTGGGCTTTGTGTTGTCCTTATCTCCAGTGTGAGCAGCTGGTTGGTTAGGATGGGACTTATCCATGGTTAGCTTGGAGTTGGTAAGGGTGTGTGTGTATCTCTTGTAGTAGTACAGTGACTGTAGAGTGAATGCATGTGCACAGATGTTACTATATAGATGTGAGCATATATTTGAATGTACTGAATAAGAGCCTTCCTCAAAGGTAGCAGCCACCTCCTTCTTCTGCCTCCCCTGCATTCTATTGGAGGGGGGAGGGATGGGTAGCTCAGCTTCTGGGCTTTGTGCACTTGGCTTTCTCAACTGTTAGCTGCCTCTCTCTGGTAAGTCCCTAATGCCCCCTGTGCTATCTTGTGTCTTTTGCTTTTTTTCTTTCTTTCTGGTTTTCCCTTTTCTCTACCCTTTTCCATGAGACTGTTCCCAGGGGAATTTCTCTAGTAAAATTAGAAAAACTAATGAAGCCCCCACCCTATTTTCTCCCTGCCTAAAGATCCCCATTCCCTACACTTCCACCCATTCACTCATCCATCCATCCATTCACTCATTCATTCATCCATCCATCATCCATCCATCCACCTATTCATCCATTCACCCATCCACCCAACCATCCATCCATCCACCCACCTAGTCATCCATCCATCTGTCCATCTATCCATCCATTCACAGATCCATCCATCCATCCATCCATTCATCCATTCATTCACAGATTCATCCATCCATCCATCCATCCATCCATCCATCCAGTGATCAACATGTTCTGAGCATTTCCTCTCTACCAGGTCCCATACAGGAGTGCAGATACCACCTTGCCCTCACTAGTTCAGCCTCAGTATTATACAGATGGGAGACTCTTTTATCTGCTCATGAAAAAAGGGTGTCATACTTTGAATTCCCTGGAAGTAAACTATTAGGGGCTGAATTGTGTGTCCCCTGCACCAGTTTATGTGGTGAAGCCTCAGTACCTCTGAATGTGACTATAATTGGAGATAGCATCTTTCAAGAGGCAATTAGGATGTTGGATGTGGTGGTGCACACCTGTAATCCCAGCGCTCCAGAGGCTGAGGCAGGAAGATCACTGTGAGTTCAAGGCCGGCCTGAACTACACAGTGAGACTGTGTCTCAATAAACCACAAAGAAAAAAAAAGAGGCAATTAGGCTAAAATGAGGCTGCTAGGTGGGTCCTAATCCAATATGATGATGCTCTTATAAGAAGGGGAAATCTGGACACTGACACAGAGATGAGACCTTGTGAGGACACAGAGAGGAGAGGGCTCCGAACACATGCAGTTTGGAGGTGAAGTTTCCAACAAGCGGCCTTTTGGACAGACACAGTCCATCTACAGCACTGGGCATGATGGCCCTACACACTGATAGACATTGCAAGGACAAGGAGTTTACTTGGGACCTGATCGCCTCCCAAAGGTTTCTCCACACTGTCCACTGGAGATTAAGTTCCATCACGTGAACCTCAGGGACCCACTCTTAGTCTCTTGTGTCTGTGACACTTCTGTCTGCACAGTGGCTGGCCTGCCCTCCCTGACCCTGGACAAGCTGCCTGGTCCCCGCCCCTCCCCAGTCCCACCAGGAGGGATACTTAACAAGCGTCTTTCAGCCCCACATCCAGAGCATAAGAAGAAAGCATGGCTCAGATAAACCCACATGTTTGCCTCTGCTCTGGTTACCCAAGGCCAGGACTGTGGTGTTGCGTCTGGTGTGCGGCCACTTGGGTACATGGCCTGGGGGGGACCTGGCCACTTGGAGTAATCAGGAGTGGCTTCCTCAAGGGGGTGGCATCTAAAGAAGCCCTGAGGATGAGCAGGAGCTGCCCAGGCCAAGGTGGGGGGCACGTTCTGGTTAGGGGTGTAGAATATGCAAAGACCTGGAGGTGAGAAGGAAGGGCCACTCCAGAACGGGGGCCAGTGCGGCTGGTGGCAGGGAGTGGTGAGATCCCTCGGTCCAGAGCTGAGGGCTAGGAGGTGGAGGGGCTGGTGGGCCGGATGCTGGAAGGAGCAGCTGTCTGTGTGGGCGTCCTGGTCTGTCTGTGACCCTGATGCTGAGCCAGAGGTGAGAGGTGCTGATGGGAATGTAGGGCAAGCTTGGAGAACATCTGAGAGTCGGGAAAAGGCTGATCCAAGAAAGGGTGTGGGGTGTGGGCGGAGCAGATGGGACAGAGACCCTTGGGGACGAGTTCTAAGATCACCTCCTCCGCCACGCTGGAGCCTCAGCCCTGTGGTTTCTGAGCATGAGAGGACACTCAGTGGGAAAGACCTGTCTGGAGAATGGGAAGAGAATGAGAAAGAAATGGGTGAACCCCACGGTTCTGCTCCCTCTGCTCCAGCCCACGTGGCCTGGCTGTTCTTTGCACAAGTCACACATGACCTCAGGGCCTTTGCACAGGCAGTTCCCCTGCCTGGAATGCTCTTGCCCCAGGCCTCTGTGTGGCTGTCACCTTCTGTCCTTCCAATCTCTGAACTCTCTCTCTCCACACCCCTGCCCCCTCATGGCTCCTGCTTCATTGTCCTCAGAGTTTTCAGCAACACTGAAACAAACTTGCTAGTTTCCTTTGGTACCGACTGCTCTCTCTCCCAAGGCTGGAGTGGAAGGTCCAGGGGAGCAGGGACTTTGCCTTCTTTGACCCCTAAATTGGGACCTTGAGCAAATGTGAGCTCTGTGTAAAAAGAACCCACTGCCAAGTTCACCACTCTGAGTCTGGTAGTGAAGCTCCTGCAGCCCAACCTGCCTGATGCTCACCCTAGGGCAGCTTCTGGTTTTTTTTACTTTTTGGTTTTTTTTTTAATCTTTTGAGACAGGGTCTCCTTATGTAGTTCAGGCTGGCCTTGAACTCACTATATAGCCCAGGCTGGCCTTGAACTCATGGGAATCCTCCTGCCTCAGCCTCCTGAGTGCAGGTGTGTGCCACATTCTCAGCTCTGACAGATTTTAAAGGGACCCAGAGGGCATCTGGGCAGGGCCAGATGACCAGACAGCTCCATGAGGAGATGGTATTCAGCCTGATCTAACCTGCTTCCCCGAGCTAGGGTTGGAGATGGAGGCCTTGCTGTGTGTATGCATGTGTTAGCCCCGCTAAAGACCTAGGTTTCTACCCTGGGAGCCATGAAAAGCCTTCGAAAGTTTAAGGCAAGGAGTTACCTCTCAGAGAGGCTTCTAGGGTCCTGGGCACGGTGCTGTGGACCTGTAATCCCAGTGACGGGGGAGGCCAAGGCAGGAGGGCCGCAAGTCTGAGGCTAAGCTGCGTAACTTACTCAGATTCCCTCTCGAAATAAAAAGAAAAAGGCTGTCTCAAAATAAAAGAGGCTGGGTATGTAGTTTAGTGTAAAAGCCCTAGGTTTGATCTCCAGTATCAATCAATCAATCAATCAAATCAATCAGTACAATTTTTATTTATTATTATTTTTTTGGTACCAGGGATCGAACTTGAGTCCTTGCACTTGCGCAGCAGATGGCAAAACCACTGAGCCAAATACCTGGCCCTTATCAATACAATTTTTAAAAATGAAAAGGAGCATAGCTTAGTGCTTCCTGAGTTTCAACCCCAGTACTGGGATGGCGGTGAAGACACAACTTGTGGGGGTCTACTGAAGTCTTCTGAGCCAGAGGATGACAGCCATCAGGCTTGTAGTTTTGTGTTTTTGTTTGTGTTTTGTACCAGGGATCGAACTCCGGACCTTGTGCTTTTGAGGCAGGCAGCAGAACCACTGAGCTAAATCCCTGGCTCTGGCTTGTAGTTTGTTTTTTTTTGGTACCAGGGATCGAACTCAGGCCCTTGTACTTGAGAGGCCGTTGGTGGCACCACTGAGCTAAATCCCCAGCCCCTTGGCTTGTAGTTGTTTTTTTATTTTTTGGGGTTTTTTTGGTACCAGGGATCAAACTTGGGTCCTTGCTCTTGCAAGGCAGGCAGCGGAACCACTGAGCTAAATCCCCGGCCCCTGGCTTGTAGTTTTGAGAGACGTCCTTGTGTGTTATTAGAACAGGGTGCCACCACGTAGGGTAGATTTCAGAAGCCCGAGAGCCTGAATGGATTCTTATCTTAATTACCCTCTGATTAAAATTCGCTTATGGACAGGCATGGCACACTCAGGAGGCTGAGCCAGGAGATCAAGTTTGAGGCCAGCCTGGGCTACCTAGCGAGACCCTACCTCGAAAAACAAAACAAGACAAAAATTCCCTTATGAATTCTTTACATTATGAATTCAGGTGACAAAACACAGCAGTAATTACTTTGTCATCAGTAGAAATCACAGAGATTCTCATGTTACAGTTACAGCAGATATCACAAAATATTGTTTAACCTATCTTTTTTTTTTTGGTACTGGGGATTGAACTTGGGTCCTTGTGCTTGGGCAACAGGCGGCTAAAACACTGAGCTAAATCCCCGGCCTCACAAAATATTGTTTAGGCTCAATACTACCTTGAATGGGAGTAATAACCTGTTACTGAATGAGGTTACAAAGAATCATATAGATTACTATTTATTTTTTAATGCTTTAATAACCATATTCCAATATTGTTGGCTTCCTTTGTAATCCTGTGTTTTTAGTTTATGTATTTATGATTCTGGTGTCTAGAGCTTCCCTAGAATAACCAGGAGTACAAAAACATTGGGGAGATTAATTTGGTGGTTGTAACTAAGAAGCCGAACTCTGTTTGGCTCCTAAACAAGACGTAAGAAAGAGAATGAGCTTAATAACAGAGAAGTCCACGGGGCACCCTAAATTCAGGGTGTGAATGATATTCTCAGGAATCCATTTCTCTCCAATTCTGTCCTCTGCTGGCCTCTGAGCTGCCTCCTTTTTGGGTAGGTCCTGCTCACACCCACACTCACACTACAGTGGCCACGACATGGGGCCTTTCAAAGCAGGAGTTCTGTAGTAGGCCAAAGTCTCTTTTCTGATTATGCTTAAGAAAATTCAGACATACACAGGGCCTGTTGGCCAGCATATGTGGGTCACATGCCCATGGGGAACTAATCACAGTGGAGAGGAAGATGGCATACTCTGACCTATTTGGGTCATGTGCTCATGCTGCACCAATCACAGTAGTAGTGAGGAAGTTGGAGTACTCTGAGTGGCCTACTTGGGTCATGTGCTCATACTGAACCAATCACAGTGGTGAGGAAGATGGAGTCTTCTGATTGGTCTATTTGGGTCATGCTCTCATGGGTCAGTGTCAACTCCTGTGTCTCCCATTCCCTTACAATGGGAGGCAGGGATTGTTGGGTGATTTGCATTCCTCTCAGCCTAAATTGGATCCCCAAGGTCTTTCTCCTCTGGGGAGAAACAGGACTTGTGCCCAGAATGCTGACCACCAGTGCTCAGCTAGTGCTTTTGGGTGCCAGGGACTGCTGTAGCACTTTACACATATTTATCTTCATGGTCCCTTTAATCCTTTCAATACCACTAAGAGATCGGTTGTATTAGCCTGAATGAGGATATGGTAGTTAGTCAGGGCTACACAGTCAGCAGCCCTGGAATCTCGGGCCCTACTCTTCCCCACACTGCTGCTGCTTCCTGCCTGCCACATTTATAACATAAAAGCTGGACTGATACGTTGGGGAGGTGGTGGCGGCTGGAGCTGGGAGAGGCTTCAGGAGGGGTGGAAGAGGCGAAAGACTTCACCAAGGTGGCCTGGTCTGGAGCTTTTCTGCTTCTTTTCCCAGGGTCATTGCCAACACAGCCGTGTCCTCAGGGGCCTTCCGACTGCAGGAAGAAGCAGTGTGAGCCTGACCACTACCTAGATGAGGACGGCTACTGCACGGCCTGTGTCACCTGTTCCAGAGGTCAGGACCCTGTTCTCCCTCCAGTGGCTCCAAGGGGCCTCAGAGGAGACTCTGGGCGGTGGGGAGGATGTGGGAGGTGGGGGGCACTGGGATTTGGTGCTTAAATCTGAACTGGCTCCCTGGCATTTCAGTTTACCTCTCTGGATTTGTGAATTGATATCACCAGTGATCTTTTGCATGCATACTTTTCAGAGAGACTTGGCATGTTCCCTGAAAGGGAGGACTCACAGTTGCAGAATTTAATCTTTGCAATGGCCTTCTGGAGAATGCTTTTCTCCTCTCTTGCTTCTCAGTGAAGGATCTGAGGGTTAGTGAGGTGAAGGGTCTTTCCAGAGTTGAAAACTTGGGTAAATGTTAGCGCTTAAGTCTGAGCTGATGGCCGGGAACCAAGAGTGTGTCTTTTCCTAAGATCTCATTGCTTCCAGAAAAACTCAATAAGCAGGAGCCGGAGATTTAGCTCAGTGGTTCCGGTGCCTGCCTAGCAAGTGCAAGGTCCCGAGTTTGATCCCTGGTGCCAAAACAAATAAACAAACAAACAAACAAAACCTCAATAAGCACTTTCATGGTAATTTCTTACTATGGTCTGGTGTTTGTGTGTGTGTGTGTGTGAGTGGGGGTAGGTAGATGGGGAAATTTGTTGAGATCTTGTGACTAATAATCACATTAAAAAAATTGTATTCAGTATTTATTTATTTATATTTTTAGAGATAGGGTCTTGATCTTTACTTCAGGCTGGCCTTGAACTCGCAGTGATTCTTCTGCTTCAGCCTCCCAAGTGCTGGGATTATAGGCATGTGCCAGCATGCCTAGCTTCAATATATTTTTAAAATGTGTACTGTATGTTGCATACAAAGTTCTCTGTGAATTGTGTTAAATAATATATATTCTTATTCATTTTTATAATTCTTAGTGTTGATTCCTGAAAGAGGGATGTTAAAATCTTGCCTTCCAATATGCTTTTCATCCATTAGGTCTTCATTGTATTCTTCCAATTTGTCTTTCATATATGTCAAGGCTCTATTATTAGGTACATAAGTGTTCATGTATATTGTCTGCTCGGTGGCTTCAACCTTTTATCTGCCTGAATCATACCTCTTTGTTTCTTACAGTTTCCTTTCCCTTAATTTTACTGTTGTTTGATATGAACAGTGTCATTTTCCTTCTCTATACACTAGCATTTCTCTGCTATATCTTTCAATAGTTTGAAAGTAATTAGGGTATTTTATTAGATGAAAATTATATAGATTAACCACAAGACATTTGAGTGATACAGAATATAAGGAAGAAAGCCAGTGCTGTCCTTCGAGCCCAGCATCTTTAAGGGACTAATGTCATCACTGGATGGTTGATGCTTCCATCCCTCTGCAGGGAAGGGATAGGTAGGATAGTGGCCAAACAGACTGCAGACTCAGAAAAAGAGTGTTTTAAGAGGATGGCAGCATGTTGTTTATGACCTTAAAAATCACTGCATCCTCTTAAAAAAAATCATTACATTACATGCGATCAAGTGTATCAGGGGAAGAACAAACTAAAATGTCAACTCTCAGACAGATTAGTATTTTTTTAATCAAAAAGAGATAGTTCCTTTAAAAAAAAATCCCTCAAGGATTCAGGATTAAGCTCAATGGTACTACTGCCTGCCTTGCAAGTGCAAGGTCCTGAGTTTGATCCCTGGTACCAAAAAAACCAAAAAAATCTCCCCAAATTAAAAAAGAGGTGTGGGCTCAGTGGTAGAGTAGGTACTTGGGGTGAGTGAGGCCCTGGGTTTGATCCCAGAAGAGAAGAGGTTATGAAAATCAATGAGTGGTTAAGAATCATAAAAGAAACTGCTTCCATAAAGTCACAATCTATTTACTTCCGTTTTTTGGACAGTATAGAATAGATTGATTTTCTGTAATGAAAAATGAAGTAATTATTTTGCTGACCTCGCCATCCCTTTCCTGACTTTTGTTACTTATATTTTTACTTTTCGTAGTCTATGATGTTTATGTTCCTTTTTGCTATGGTAAGTTCCTCGGATGTTACCCTTGCCTTGCTGTTTAAATATACACCTTGTGGACTAGGAGTACTTTTACCATGGTTTCTCCATTCCCAACTTTTTCATTTTGATTCATCATTTGCTTGGTTAGATTTCATTGGCAGGCGGGCTTTTCAAGAAGGGTTTATCTGCAGCATTTTCAAATCCTTCCTTCCTTCCTTCCCTCCCAGTGTTACCAGGTAGTTCCTTCTAGAAATTGGCTTGCCAAATAAATGTTACTGAGTTTTGTGGTGCTCATGCCTCCTCCTGGAGTTGGATTCCAGGTTCTTCTCATCTTGAACAAAGCATTGAATAAAACGAACTAAAACAGTGACAAAATTTATTTGAAAAAGTAAAAAGTGAAAAATGAGGGAGAAAAAAAAAAAAGAAAAATGAGGGAGAAAGTGGCTCTGCAGAGTGAGCTTGGGGCGAGTAAAAGAGGAAAAGCCAAGATAAAATTACATTCCAGAGGACACAGGCTGAGCAGTTGTAAGGAAAGCTACAATAACAAGCTCTTCCTGGTGTCCATGTCCATCTATGCCATCTAAATCTTGAGGGAACCCGAGAACTACATCTGGGTCCTGAGAGGTGGTGCTGGGATCCCACGCCTCAGGCTGAGGTCAGGTCCAGGCCATCCTACTGAAAACCAGCTCATGTTCTCATAAGAAGTTCACATGCAGGCTTTGGGGACTGTTCTGCACCCGTGTGTGGGACCTTGTAGTTAACAGGCCACACCCACTTCCCCAGCCAGCTCTGCCCCACCCTAATCGCCTATCTTACCAGGGCTGGGACAGGACCTAGGGCCTCATGCGTGCTAGGCAAGTGCTCTGCCCTAAACTGTACCCCAGCCCTGCTGCCTTTGTGCTTGAATGACAACTTAGACAGGTCTAAAATCCCTGGGACACATTTCCTCTAAGACTTTGTGTCTATCGGTCCTTTTGTCTTGTGCTGAAAGTTGCTTGGAAGGATCTGGAGTCAGCCCTTTTTTCTCCTTGGTAGGCAACTACAAAAATAATTCTTTATTCCTCAGAACAAGTAACCAGAAAACACTTTGATATTGTTTGGAAACATTTCTTACTGATATCTGGTGTGTGTTTTCTATCTGCAGATATTTGGTTCTTCTTTTATTTCAGGAAAATTATTGTAGATTTTATTTATTTATTTATATATTTATTTAGAGACAAGGTCTCACTGCACAGTTCAGACTGGCCTTGAACCCTTAGAAATCCTCCTGTCTCAGCCTCCTGAGTACTAGGATTGCAGGTGTGCACCACCATGCCCCGGTGAATTTTATCCTTGGTCAATGTTTTTATATATATACTTATATATTTATTATATAATATATTTATTATACATATACAATATTTTATATATATTGTACTCCAATGTCTTAGCCCTCTGTTATCCTTATGTTGGGTTATCTGTGCCCATCTCGGTTTTTTGTGTTTTTAGTTTTCTTTAATATTAATACTGAAATGCATTATCTTTTTACTTTGCATTGACTGCTATTTTCTGTCTTTTTTCCATGCAGTTCATGCAATCTTATGCCAAAACTCTTGTCTTTCTTACCCTCCAGGTATCCCCAGCCCCCAGGGCACTGCTGATGTATTTACTGGATTTCTCCTGATAATATTGTGCATCCCAGTTCGTTTCCCTTGTTCAGTTTTCTCTCTCTTGCTGCCCTTTGGACATTCCATGTAAATGAGATCATGGGTCAGTGGCCTGTGTGCCTGGCTTCTGTCACCCAGCACTGTGTGCCCAGGTTTACTCTGCCAGAGCAGGGGTCAATTCTTGTCATGGCCGAACATGTGCCACTGCATGTCTGGATCCAGCTTGACCTGAATGCCACCATCCAGACTTGTCCTCACTGTAGTTGTCCCTGAGTAGCCCTGGCCTGGTCCCCACTTAGTGCCCCAGCACTGCACAGATGCACAAAACCACGGAGTGGTGTGTGGGGCTTTCTGATCTGACCCGGCCGAGGCTGGCAGTTTCTCGTCCATCCCGAGGACTGTGTGAGTCCCTCCTGGCCCCGACCTGCACTGTGGGGAGCCACTGTCTTGCTGTCCGTAAGTCATGGTAAACTGCACTCTGTACGGTCCTGAGTCTGCCTCTCTCCAGCCTCACTGCACCTTGCAGTTGGTTCTTTTATGCTAGATTTTCCCTGCTCGGCGTGGATATCTACAAGGGGCCATCAAAATACAGTGAATGTTTACATTTTTAAAAAATTACAGTAAAAAAACTCCACATTGCCATGAATCCCCCTCAAAAATCTTTCCCTCACTTTGAACATACTTATCCCATCATCCTTGCCACTTTCTGAAGCAGTTCTTGAAATCCTCTTTCATGAGTATCTTTATGAGGTGTGATAAAAAACACGGTGAATGCTGCTGCCGAGTGCCATCTAACAGAAAGGCAGCTCGTAAGCACATTACAGTGTCCTCATCCACCTCATTCACCAGATCCATGTGTGGCTTCTGGCTCTGCCCCAAAGTCAAAATGACCAGGAAAGGTAAACTTTTTGAATCAACTCAGAACATTGAGGCAGCTACTACAGTACAACTAAAGACACGAAAGAAGACTTCCAAATCTTTTATTGTAATACATTTAAAAAAATATTTAAACAATCGCTTTATTTTTAGAACACACCTCACATCCTGTGTTCATCTACTCATCACTTGATGGATGCTTGATCGCTTGCACTTTCTGGCTATCACGCATTGTGCTGCCAGGAACATGCACACCAAAGTCCTAGGATGCCCAAGGTGCATGGTGGATGGTTTATCTTCCCACCAGCAGTGTCTGAGGACCCCAATTTCCCTGCATTCCTGTTGTGCCAACTTGCCAACACCATAACAAAGTACCCAAAATAACCTACCAGGAGGAAAGGTTATTTTGCCTCATGGTTTCAGTCTATGGCCCCACAGCCCCTTGGCCCCAAGGCTATAGGTCTGTGTTTATGCAGTACATCATGGCGGCCATGCATAGTGGGGGACCTGCTTCCATCATGGCAGCTGGGAAGCAAAGAGGGAGAAACAGGAAGGGTGTGGGCTCCCGTGACCCAACATTCTTTCTGTAGGCCCTACATCCCAGTAGCCTTCAACACACGGACCTTTGGACATCCAAGATCTAAACCCTAGCACTCACCAGCACTTGTTATTGTCTGTCTTTTGTTATCACCGTCCTAGTGGATATAAAGTGCTATCTCATGGGAATTTTGGTTAGCATTTCCCTTCTGGCTAAAGATGTTGAACATTTTTATGTTGTCCTGCATTTATTGGCCACTGGTGTACCTGGAGAAATGTCTGGTTAATCCTTGTCTGTTTAAAAAAAAAATGAATGGACTTTTTTTTTTAAGAGCAGCTTTAGTTTATAGAAAAATTGAGCCGAAAGTAGAGAGGTCCCATATAACCCTATTACCCAGTTTCCTCTATTCATATTTTGTGTCATTGTGGTATCTTTGTTATCACTGATGAGTCAAGGTTAATATGTTCTTAACTAAAGTCCCTACTTCACATTAGGATGTCCTCACAGTGTTGTGCACTTGGTTTTTGTTTTTTGGGGCAGTTTGTGAATGTGAATTTGTGTGTGTGTGTGTGTGTGTGTGTGTGTGTGTGTGTAGGGATCTACTAGGGACCAAACCCAAGCCCTCTCTGCCACTGAGCTATATCTCTTGCCTTTTTCAAACATTTTTATAATTTTGACACAGGGTTTTGCTAAGTTCCTGAGGCTGGACTTGAACTTGGAACCCTCCTCCCTCAGCCTCCTGAATAGATGGGATTACAGTGTGTGCCGCCACACCCAGCTTCATGCTGTGGTTTTGACAACCAGATAAAGATGTGTGTCTGCCACCATGATGTTGAACAGCGCAGTCTTTACTGCTCCAAAATCTGTTTCCCACCCGTTTGTCCCTCCCTCGTCCCTCACCCTGGCTACCCCTGGCTGCTTCCCTGTAGGGCGTCAGAGTGTCACCTTGTCCAGAATGTCCCTGGAATCCCAAAGTGTCTCCTTTTCTGACTGGCTTTCTGTGTCTCTTTTGCCCATTTTTTTGTTTTTTGAGACAGGGTCTAACAACATAGCCCAGGCTGGCCTTGAACTCATGGTAATCCTCCTGCCTTGGCCTCCTGAGTGGTGGCATTACAGGCACAAAGGTTACTTTTGGCTTGAGGGTTCAGAGCTTTGCCCGTTTTTAAATTGGTCACCAACGTAGCTTTGCTGCCCCTTTCTGGTCACCAGGGATGTGGACTGGGAGGCCGAAGCCACATCGCAGACCTCACCTGCCCTCCTCCGGCTTCGGGTCTGGAGCGGCCAGATCAGGGGGCACGTGGGGCGCCATCAGCTGAGACCAGCAGGGTCCAGGCGGCTCTCAGCTCCTGACGGCCTGTGCCGATGTCCCCTGGAGCCCTCGCCCTCCCTCGCCCCTCCATGACCCTCCCTGTGTCCCCCAGACGACCTCGTGGAGAAGGCACCCTGCTACTCGAACTCTTCCCGCGTGTGCCAGTGCCGGCCGGGCATGTTCTGTGCCACCTCTGCCACCAACTCCTGTGCCCGCTGCTTCCCGCACTCTGCCTGCTCCGAGGGGATGGTGATCACGGCCCCAGGTGAGTCCCCACAGGCTTCCCGGGATGGGGCTGCTCTCCCGCCTTGGAGCCAGGCCTGGGCCCCAGGCTGGAGGCTGACTCAGCTTCGTGTTCCCCCTCGCTGTGTGACCTCAGGCAACTCCCTTGCCCTCTCTACACAAAGGCGTCCTGGCCAGAGACAACCCGTGCGTGGCACTGGGGGCCCTTCAGCAGGGAGGCGGAGGGAGATGGCGGTTTGGGGTGGGTGTCCCAGCCCCTCAGGGCGCAGGGAGAGAGGTGAGATGGAGTCAGGGGAGCCGTGAGCCCTCCCCCAACACCCTCCTTTTCTGTCCTTCCACCTGCCGCACACACGGCGACACTGGACTCTCGGCCCTCCCCCCAAAGCCAACCTGGCCCCCAGGGCTGCAGACTTCACCCCATCACCTCTCCGTCCTGCATCCCACCCCAGGGAGACAGCACCAGCCCCAGCCGGATGTGCTCCTCTCATCCTTCTGCCATGCAGGAACACACACACGCACACCTAAAACCCCTCAGTGTCTGCCGTAATCTCATGACAAGGACACAGTCCTTTGGCAAAAGAGCGCAGGTTTCTGGAGGACTCCCCCGCCCCGGCTCTGCATCTGGGATCCTGAAGCAAAGAGCAAACTCCCGGCCATCACCGAGCCCTTCCTCAGGTCCGGGCCCCAGCTGCCCTGCCTCTGTCCTCACCCTGCAGTCTCCCATTTGTTTTGTCCCTAATGTCCAGGCTTTTAGCTGCACTTGGGAGGCGGAGGAGAGGGCGTCCGCCCACCTTCCCGCACGGCACCCTCAGGATGGCCGCCGCTCGTCCCCACTCACCTGGTCACCCCACAGCAGGGCAGGTGGAGTGGGAAGGGCAACGTCTGGGCCTCAGTCTCCCCACTGTCACACGAGGGAGTGTAACCTGAAGTCCCGGGGGGCCTTTCCCGCTCAGAATCTCTTCCTCTCTGAAAAACTGCCTGAGTCCACTCGGTCCAGCCTGGGCCAGCGACGCTTTCCTGAAGTGTAGTTGCTTGGGCGCTGTTCCGAAATCTGCCACACGGTGGCGCCAGAGACCACGTTTTAATACTATGGGCCGCACTGCTGGATGCTGGCGACCCGGACTTCAACGACCTCGAAGCCAGGAGGAATATAAGGCATCTCATTAGCTATTTTCATGACTACCTACTAACATAGGTTTTAGATCTATGTTTCAGTAGGGTTTTTTTTTTTTGGTACCGGGGATCGAACTCAGGACCTTGTGCTTGCGAGGGAGGCGGTGGAACCACTGAGCTAAATCCCCTGCCCCATTTCACTTGTTTTTATTACCTATTTATTTAGGCTTTTTGAGACATGGTCTTGTTAGGTATTCCAGGTTGGCTGTGAACTTACTATGTAGCCCAGACTGCCCTTGAATTTGCAGCAGTCCTCCTGCCTCAGCCTCCTGAGTGCTGGGATTACAGGTGTGCGCCACCACAACCAGCTTTTTTACCTTTTAAAATGTTCAGTGGTTTTAAGCTGGGATCCGTGGTTCCCATCACATTTCTTCTGGATAGCGCCACTAGCCAGGTTGCTGAGCCCGGCTGGGGGGCCGGACGGGCTTCCAGCGACCCCTGGACTCTCCCGGGACTGCAGTTCTCCAGCAGTGAATAAAGTGGGAAGTGACTTCTGCTTCTGGTTGATCTCGCAGCTAAGCCTACGCCCAGAGTGGCTGTGTCACTCCACTCCACAGATCTGGGGCTGGGGCCCGGAGATGGCAGGCGGGTGGCCCAAGTGCACAGAGCCAGCATAGCCAGGCCGGGGTTCGAAGGCGGAGCCCAGCACAGGGAGGCCTGGAAGTTAGTGCTGCCCCTGCCCACCTGCTGAAGGTGTGCGGGGAGTCTGTTCCTGAAGTCTCTGGGTCCTGTGTCCCTCGCCCCGCCCCCCCGACGCCATTGCTGTCGCCCTGCAGGCACAGCTGAGACGGACACGGTCTGTGGCTGGCCTTCCCCGGGAACCAGCCTCGCCTGCGCCAGCCCCGAGGCCTGCAGGACACCCGCCAGGTGACGTCCAGCCCTCCCTGCCTCCCCTCCAGGTGACCTTGGGGCGAGGCCGTCCCCCCCACCCCGGTACCCAGGCATTGGACCCGGGGCCTCTCTGCCACGCCCACAGCCCCTGCCCTCCAGTGCCCGCCCTACCTCCCGCACAGGACACCCAGAGGCTGGAGAGCACAGCCCTGCCTCCCGGATGGGGCCTGAGGGAGGAGTGTGCCCCCCCCTTCTCTCCCTGTCTTGGCTTTTTTTTGGGGGGGGGGAACTGGTTTGTAAATCCAGGGCCCTCACACTGAGCCACATCCCCAGACCTTAAACAAATGTTTTTTAAATTTTGAGACAGGATCTCACTGGGTTGCTAAATTGCCATGGCTGGGTTTGAACTTGCAGCCCTCCTGCCTCAGCCTCCCGGAGTGCTGGGTTTACAGGCCTGGGCCACCAAGCCTGGCTATGGGGACCCCTTCTCTGTAGACACTGTAATCCCTGACTTCGCTCCCCGCTGTGTCAGGGGTGTCATCAGACCTGTGTCTGGCTTCTTCTCCAGCCGTACCACCCACAATGTCAAGCCAACTGTGACGCCCCAGGCCAGTGCGGATGCCAGGACCCGAGCCCTAGGCAGGAACACCCCGCTCCGGCTGGAAGATGCTTCCCGACCGCGACTCATGGGGCTTCCCGAGTCCTCCTTCTCCACGGTGGAGCCGGGCGCAGACCCAGGTGACTTCCGAGGAGCCGCGTGTCCGCCTAGTCTGCAGGGTCCCGGGGGTGGGCCGGGGCTCTGGGATTGGTTGCTTTTTAGTAGGACATCGACCACTTCCGGGTTGCGCCTCTGTCCCTGGCTGCGTCCCGGGCCTCCTCTTCCGCCCGGCTCGTTCCACGTTTCCCACGCTGTCCGTGTTCAGCAGGGCAAGCCCTTTTCTCCGGTGAAGCCTCAAAGCATCATTGAGTTATTTTCTAGGATCTTTATTGCTTTTCTGTTCATGTTTAGGATCTGTTGTCCTTATTAAATTTTAGTCAGTGGTCTTAGTTTCTTTTTATTTTTTTTAATTAGCTAGGGCCTTTTCACTGAGCTACAGTCCCGGCATCCTTTTTATAAATGCCTTTATTTATTTATTTTGGGGTTTTGAGACAGAGCTTCGCAGTGTAGCTCAAGTTGGCTGAACTCAAAAAATTTCCGTCTCAGCCTCCCGAGGGCTGGGGTTACAGCCATGCATCTTCACTCCTGGCTTTAATTGTTTTTTTGGTACGGGGATCAAACTTGGAACCTTGCACTTTCGAGGCAGACAGTGGAACCACTGAACTAAATCCCCGGACCTTTAATTTTTGAGACAGGCTTTTGCTACCTCATGAATTTCTGAGGCTGGGCTTGAGTTTGTGATCCTCCTGCCTCACCCTCCCAGAACACTGGGGTTACAGTGGTTTTATTTCAAACTGTTCACATGCTGTCTGGTTGGATCACACATTGTCATTCCCCCGGTGCTTCCTGCATCTTCTTTGCTGAAGACTAAGGATCCCCAATCTGTAGAGGAGATTCTGGACTCTTCCAGGTGGTGAATGCCGCGCTATCTTCGCAATTGCTGTCTTTAAATACATCTCCAGGGAAGGCTGAGCGACACCCCAGCGCTGTGGTCCACAGCTACTGGCCGTCCTTGGGAATCTGCATTTCCATGCCAATGTCAGAATCTGCTTCTCAGATTCCTCCAGGGCCCTGCTGGGGTTCTGGCCGGGGCTGCCCCATCTCTAGGTTTGGAGAGGAGCTTCCCTGCACCTCCTGGGCCGCTTCTGCTTTCTCAGAAATGTTCTGCGCTCTGGGGGTAGGGCTTCACATCCCCGGCTCGGATTTCTGGGTGTCTGAGGGCTCTGATGGTGATGTACACGGTGTCTTTTTCAGCATTCCATGCTCTTACTCAGGGTCCTGCTATGTGGTTCACGCTTGTCTTGGACTCACGATGTAGCCCAGGCTGGGTTTGAACTCACGGTAACCCTCCTACCTCAGCCCCCCAAGTGCTGGATAACAGGCATGTGCCACCACGCCTGGCAATGTGCTTTAAAATGATTAGAAATTGTTAAAATTTGACTGTTTTTGACTTACAAAACTGGTGATTTCATATGGTTCAAACTAACCTGTAGAAAGGCAGTGGATCTGGGTGTAGCAGCTGCGGGTCGGCCACCTGGCTGAGGTGCGGAGGCGGGGGCATGGTTCTCCTGTGTGGCTTTGGGCCGCCCCTCCCTCCTGGGCCTCGGCCCTGCTCTGATGCGGTGGTCTGGGGCTTAGCGGCTCTGCTTCCATCCCCAGGGCCGTCTCCCTCGCAGCCCTGTCTGCAGGGCTCCGCTGACTGCCCGAGGAAGCAGTGTGAGCCCAACCACTACCTGGACCTGGACGGCCACTGCAGGGCTTGCGTCAGCTGTGCTGGAGGTGAGCCCTCTGTTGAGAACCTGGGGCTGGGAGGCCCGCTGTGGTTTCATTTTATTTTTTTGGTACCAGGGATCGGGGACCTTGTGCTTGCGAGGCAGGCTGCAGAGTCACTGAGCTAAATCCCCAGCCCCTGCTTTGGTTTTACTCAACCTTGAGATCCTCACTTTACCTGTCTAGCATTGTTTTTTTTTTTTTGAGACAGGGTCTCACTATGTAGCCCAGGCTGGCCTTGAACTCGCAGAGATCCTCCTGCCTCAGCCTCCTGAGTGCCAGGGTTACAGGTGTGCACAACCACACCTGGCTGGAATGCACCCCTTTTTCTGTCCATCTCATTTCATTCAGCGTAATTTTGCTAAGCATGCCGGGAGAGCCTCCCCACAGAGGCCACATGAGCCCTTATTTTCCATGGGTGACTGGGCAGAGGTCCTCCGATCTCCTGGGGGCTCTGGACCCTGCCCTTGCCTCCCTATGGCTGCCTCTGTGCCCCCAGACGACCTCGTGGAGAAGGCGCCGTGCTCCTGGAACTCCTCCCGTGTGTGCCAGTGCCGGCCCGGCATGTTCTGTGCCACCTCTGGCACCAGCTCCTGTGCCCGCTGTGTCACCTGCCCAGTCTGTGCACCAGGGACGGGGCCTGGACTGCAGGGTGAGCTGGCTCCGCCCCTCCCACAGAACCCTTCCCACCCCAGTTCCCCCACAGCTTGGTCGCCATTAAACTCAGCTGCCTCATGGGGCGTTTTGCCCCAGCAAATGGAAGAAAATCCAGCCTGGGGCTGTTGGTAGGCATTTCTGATGATCTGAAACTCTTTCTGAGCTGACTGGGGGACTCCTGTCTTGACTTGCTTGCCCATCTGTGTTATTCCCTTAGATAGATGGAACTGGTAAAGAGGGGTCTCACTACATACATAGTTCAGGCCAGACTCAAACTTGCAGCCATCCTCCTGCCTCAGCCTCCTGATTGCTGGGATCGCAGGTGTGTGCTGCCACACCCGGCATTGCATGTCCCCTTTTAGAAAGCTATTTGAAGATATGTCATAGCTAAATGAGGTGAGGAAAAACAAAAAGGAGGAAGCCATAGGATTGAAAAAAAACAGTGACTCTGCCACAGGAGAGCAAGGCAGGAAATCGGGAGTGCAGCTGTACCTCAGGAGAGTTGAGCCAGATCAAGGCAGGGAGACAGAGGGCCCCAGGGAGGTGTGTCTAGGAATACTAGGTCCTTAGCAGTATGTTTCGCAGTTAGTACATTTGAATAACCTGAGGGTGTGGTGGAGGCATATTATTCCTTTCTTTAGAAAAAAAAAGAAAAAAAGAAAGGCAATGGAAAACTTCAGGGAAAACAAAAAGTTAAAAAGAAAAAAAATTTTTTTTTTTGTCTTAAAGATTGAACCCAGGGAGCACTGAGCCACATTCCCAGCCCTTCATTAAAAACTTGAGAAAAGATCTCACTAAATTGTCCTGGCCAGGCTTGAATTTGTGATCCTCCTGGTTCAGCCACTTGAATAACTGGGATTGCAGGCATGTCCCACCGTACCTGGTGGGAACAAGAACTGTTCCACCCAAATTAAGGGTGAAAATTCACCTGATTTTAAGTAATTGCTAGATGTACAAAAAGAGAATTCATTTCACCTTGATGTAAGACCATTCTAAAGGGCCTAAGTATCAAGGGTTGGATACAAAAAGAAGTATTTCTATCTGGTAAATAATAACTTTTGTTTTTGTTTTTGTGAATATAGAGTAAGAGTAGAAGTTTCTGGGTTTTTTTTCCCTCTCCACTGGACCCTCTACCTTGGGGCTAGAGGGCTTTCTGCTCACCTCCTGACCCACAGGAGGAGACAAAGGGGAGGCTTGCTGACCCTGGGAGGTAGGGAGGTTACAGCTGGGGTGTGACACCCCCAGAGAGGGGATGAGAGGTGCCCGGGCAGCACTGTGCCCCCACCTTCCACACTGAGGAGAGGCAGGAGCTCTGGGATCAGGCAGCTTCCACCCTGGGCCCCTTCAGTTACACCTGCTGGCCTGGGAAGGTGGGAGCCTTCTCAACGTATTAACTGGGGTGTGATTGGGAAAAGAGCTCCCCCATCTGCACAGAGTAGATATCTCAAGGACGTAGCAAGTGCTAATTTGAAGCCGGGCATGGTGGTGCACACCTGTAATCCCAGCATCTGGGAGGTTGAAGCAGGAGGATCACTGCAAATTCAAGGCCAGCCTGGGCTACATAGCAAGATGCAGCCTCAAAACAAAACAAAACAAAACAAAACAAAAATCTTGAGGCTACATTTAAACACTCAATTTTAGGGCTGGGGATTTAGCTCAGTGGTGCTGCCACTTGCCTCGCAAGTGCAAGGTCCGGAGTTCGATCCTTGGTACCAAAAAAACCCCCAAAACTAAAAACTAAACGCTCAATTTTAGGTTTCTCTTAAGTAAATTCAAAAAGCTGGGCATGACAACACAGGCCTGTAAGCCCAGCACTTGGAGGCTGAGGCAGGAGGTTTGCAAGTTCAAGCCCAGCCTAGGCAATTTAGTGAGATCTGTCTCAAAGAAATAAAAAAGGAATGGGCTGGGGATGTGGTTCTGCCGCCTGCCTTGCAAGCGTAAGGACCCGAGTTCGATCCCCAGTACCAAAAAAAAAAAAAGAAAGAAAAAAAAGAAATAAAAAAGGACTGAGGATGTAGCTCTGTGCAAAGGCCCTGCTTCAATCCTCAGTAGCACAGGAAAAAAAAAAAAAAAAAGGCCTAGAGCCACAGGGTCATCTTCCCAGGTGACTGCAGCGTCTGAAGCCCTGGTTGCCCAGTGGGCTGTCACGGCAGGGGTGGACTCTGGGGTGGACTCCGGTTGCAGACTTCCCCCTCAGGGCTGCATCCCTGTGGTGGTCTCTCGGGGAGGCCAGGCTCCCTGGCCCTGATTCTAGGATGTCGCCACTTCCTGCAGGTGTGGCTGGCGGGGATGCCACCTCCAAGCCGCTTCCCCCAGGGGCCTGTCCTGACTGCAGCACCCCAGAAAGCAGCAAGGCTCCTGCCAGGTGATCCAGGCCCTCCTCTCCTGCTGTGCCTGTGGTTGGCGGGGGTTTACAGGCCTGGGGGTGCTTCCACACCAAGCCCGCGGGTCATTTTGGGGAATGCGAGTCTGGCACAGTGTTGGCAGCCGTGGAAAAGGCAGAAGGCCCAGGAACCCAGTCCCCGGCCTGGCACTGCCTGGCAGATCTTGGGCAGAGGGTCAGGGGCCCAGGCTTTGCCGATGCCCTCTCTGGGAGAGAACTGTTCAGCAGCTGGTCCCCTTTCTCTGTGACCTCTCTCCCTGCAGCACGAGCCCCACGCTGAGCCCCCTGGAGGGCTCCCCAACCAGCCGCAGGCCGCCCATCTCCACTAGCGCTCCAGTCTCCCTCTCCTCCACAGGGAAGCCCATTTTGGATCCAGGTAACTGCGGCTCAGGGCTCGGGGTGGGGGGGAGCCAAGGTCGACCCCAGATTCCTGGCTTCTCTAGTGAAGACGGTGGCTTTGTCGCTTGCTAGTGACAATTCTTCAATTGTTCTGAGCAGAATTTTCTTTTTTCCTGGCTTCATCCCTGTGGCCCGTAACTGCTATTCAGAAAAATAGTGGGTTTTTTTGGTTTTGTTTTGTGGTACTGGGGATTGAACCCAGCCCCTTTGCACTGATTTCTACCTTTTGCACTGGAGCCTCGTTGTTTTCAAATGTGAGATGGTAACTGCATAGACCATGGAGGCCGTAAGCATGTAGTGTGTAGTAGCCGTGTTACCCCGCATTGGGGAGTTGCTACAAGCGCTAATGAAACAACACTGATTGGCAGTTCTGGTTACCAACACTAGGTGGCGGTAGTTCCCAGGCCACGCTATCCCTCCTCACCGCCCTCAAACTTTGTTCTTTTGAACCTCAATTCCCTCTTCAGTTCTCCACACCCCAGTTTCTCACCCTCTAAAATTAAAATGGTTTGTGCTTCTCGCAACTGAAGTAGTTGGCCAGTTTCCTGGAGCCAGGTGGGGGAGGACAGGCAGGTGAGGGATGGGCCAGGTCCTGTCACGCATGTCCAGCCCCAGGAGGAGGAGGAGGAGGAGGAGGCAGTGTGTGGCCAGAGCTGTCCTGGGTGGTTGTGGCCGGGGCTCCGGGCTCGGCGCTGTGGGGCAGAGAGTGAGGGCAGCTCTGTGTTGCAGGACCCGTGCTCTTCTGGGTGGCCATGGTGCTGGCCGTGGCGCTGGGCTCCGGCTCCTTCCTCCTGTGCTTCCGGAGGGCCTGCAGGGCGCGGATCTGCCAGAGTGAGTGGCTGTGTCCTCGGGCCCAGGGGGTGGCTGCTCTGGGCCCCTGGTCAGGGTCCTGCCTGCCCCACTCTCTGGGTAGCACCCAGCCCGCCTGGTGTCGTTGCAGAGCTGCACCTGTGCTACCCGACCCACACCTTCCGACCGAAGCTGGAGCGGGCGGGTAAGTGCCGGGTGCTGGGTGCTGCCGGCTGTGGCAGGGGCATGTGTGGGACAGGACAGGGGCTGCACACCCACCTTCCTTCCTGCACCACAGTCCCCATCCTGAGGCCTGCTCCTCACTTCACCTCTCCCTTTCCCCTCCCTCCTTCCTCCTTTGTTCCCTCTCCTCCCTTCCTCCCTTCTGCTTCCGCTGTCTGGCAGAGGAGCAGAGGGGTGTAGGAACACAGGGTGGGCTCACAGGCCTGGGACCCTGGCTCTGCCACTTAGGAGTCACTACCTGGCCTCGGCGAGTTGCTCAGGCCTCTGGGTCTTGGTTTCCTCTAGTGGGGGCCGTGGGGCCTGCAGTGCTCAGGTGTGGAGCAGCGCTCAGGACGCGGGCTGTGGTCATGGATGGACCATGGAGCCACTCCCCGGTCCTCCTCACTGAGCCCTGCCCAGACTCCAGGTGGCCCCCGGCCAGCCCCCCAGCCTTCCAGCAGCCCAGGCTGGCTGGGGTCTTCAGCCTTCACCCGCCTGAGGGTCTCTGCTGCCCGTGCCACCCATTCCAGTTGGACAGGGGCTGCCTCGGCACCCACTATGTGCTGGCCCAGCAGGCTGACAGCCCGAGCCTCGCCCTCCAGGGTGCAGGAAGCTGCCATGGGGTCTGCGGACCCCTCCCGGGTGGCTCCTCACTCGGAGAAGGAGACGAGTCTCAGTGTGGACAGCAGGCAGGCCACACAGCCCGGAAGCAGCGGCGCCAGCTCAGACGCTGGTCCCCTGGGAGGCTGGCCCAGCTGCTGACCGGGTTTGTCACAGGCTCAGCTGTCCCCTTGTCCCCTCTGCGGCCCCAGCTCCTTGCCTCTGACCGAGCCTCCCCCTGACCCCCAGAGCCTGGCAGGGGCCAACAGTTGACTTGGGCTTGAAACCCCGGTCCACTCAGGGGTGTTTTGAGGTTGACGAGTTTCACAAGCAAGCACCGCTTTCCCTCGGTGAGGAGGGGCTCTGTTTTGATGGTTTCAAGCCAGTTTCCATGAGCTGTCAGGCCCTGTGTCTCATTGAAACCGACATTTGCTTTCTTGACATTTTTCTAGTATTAGAGTTTCCATTGCTGTCAGTTTATTTTTTTCTTTCGACTTTCATGAGAGCAGTTTTGTTACCAAAAAACAAAAAGACAAAAAAAGCACCTTCCCTTAAGAGCTCAGAGGTGTGGAGATTCGGGGAGAGACATTCTCTCTCAGGTCATTTCTGGCCCTCGGCTTCCGGGGTCCCTGGGGGTCCAGGTCCACAGGCCCGAGGAGAGTAGTGTTGGAGGAGCAAGCAGGCAGGGCCCAGAGTGTGTCCCTGGCTTTCAGACTGAGTGGCTTGAAGGGGCTAAAGATGATGAGATGGGCACTTCCAGGAGCTCTGTGAGGAGACCCTTCTCCCCCCTGGTGTGTGTCAGGGATCTGGGGTCTTGCTGGGGCGAGGGCATGCTCAGCGCCATCTCCTGAACTGCTGGGACTTTACCTCAAGTATCTTTGGTGGCTGCCATTTGCAAAGCACACAGGTGATCTCACTGTACTTGAGGCACTTAGACTTCTGTCTGCATTTCACGGCCAAGCAGCCTCAGGCCCAGGAAGACAGAGATGCCTGTTGAAGGCCACCTGCTTAGCAAATAGGAATTTGCTATCCCTCTTGTTAAGATGTTTGAAAAAAGGTTCCTCACCCTCAGCAGAGTTGGCAGTGAGGAAGGGGTGATTCTTGGCCACGGAGGACACAGTGCTCCATGGGTCGGTTAGCAGCTCACGGGGTAGATGCTGGTGTCCCTGTCCCCGGCTGTGATGATGGAAAATATCCCAGGCAATGTCCCAGGGGCCCAGGGGAGAGCTAGCTCTGGCTGAGAAGCACTCGTCTGAAATGTGCACTTGAGGTGTTGCCTTGACTGTTATTCCAGGAAGATTGAGATTGAGAAATTCGGAAGTGATTTCAGACTCACAGGAAGTTGCAAGCACCATGCAAAAAGAGCTGACTTTTCCCTGAACCATTTCGAGAGGTGCTTTCAGACTCAGTGCCTCATGACGCCCGAATACCTCAGTGGATTTTTACCGGACTGTTTTCCAAGCATCAGAACCAAGGAACTTGTGGTGATGCATTGTCACCAGCCAGTCCCCAGGACTGATCAGGGCTCTTCATCTGTCTGCATAACCTCCTTCACAGCAGGAGAGCCCAGGCCAGGAGCGAAGGCTGCCCCTGGTTGCCTGGTCTTGGGAGTCTCCTACCATCCTGCCTTTGCTCTATGGGCCTTGACACTTGGGAGCAGGCTGGTGACTTGGCAGGGGCCCCTGACTGTGGGCGTGTCTGGCAGGGTGTGTGTCTTTGGCCTGAAGATCCCAGAAATGATGCTGGGCCCTGGGGCATCCTACCAGGGCTCCCCATATTCCTTCCCTGGCGCGTGGGCCAGGCTCCTGCACTGTGAGCCTCCCTTCTTCCCTTCAGTGACCACTGACTGCTTTAAAAGCTATCACTTGCTGTTTATCACCCATCATTTCCTGCACTTGTGCAACTACATCTGGCTGTTCTCCAGGATTTCCACCTCTTTGATGTGTTGTGATCTGGGAGAATCTGTTACCGTCACTGACACAGATGATTTGGTCATTGGTCACAGGGCTCCTGTGTCCTGGTGATGTCACCCATCCTTGGTTCCCTGGCATTTCTTCATTCTGAGGGGTGCCTGGCCTGTCTGGGCCTCTTTTTTTTTTTTGGTACCAGGAATCAAACTCAGGACCTTGTGCTTGCAAGGCAGCGCTGGAACCGCTGAGCTAAATCCCCAGCCCTCTCTCTGGGCCTCTTCCGCGGGAGTCACAGCCAGAGGGGAAGGGACTAGAAGGGGACAATGACAGGGATGGAAGGGAGCAAGGTCTTTGCATCTTGTGTGGTCAGAACTCACATGCTCGCCTTCGGAGGAGCCTCTGGAACACCGTGTGTTAGTCCCAGGGCCTCCACTGCCCGGGCTCAGGTCTTGGGTGCCAGCCAGGTTTCCGAGAAGATCTTGGTTATTTCAAATGGCAAGGGAACCAATAAATGAAGAGGAACAGACTGAAGCAACGCTTTTAGGGGCAAAGCGCTTGTGAAATCTGACCTCTGCCCTTGATGAGATTTGCTTTGGTCTTTATCAGAGCCCTGGAAGACTGTGACAGGGCCCAGGGCTGCAGGCAGAGACAGGACCTTCTGAATTCTGCCTTTTTACCTTCATGCTGTTGTATGGTTGGTTCCAAGCATTGGTACCCAATACTGGGTTTTGTTCAGTGCTGGGCCATGGTGGCCTCTCGGCTCCCCACCACCCCACCACACGCTAGTAGCACCCTGGGTATCTTTCCTTAGTAATATTTTAATGTGAAAAAATAATTCGAAAGAGACTTCCATTTACAGAGTGTTGGAGAAGGTAGTACAGAGAGTTCTCCAGGTTCCCTCTTTTCGTAACATCTACATCAGCACCGCACGTTTGTCACAATACATGGGCCAGTATGGACAGGTTCTTATTATTCTCGAAGGCCCGTGCATTTTCCCTGGGTGCCAGGGTTGCTCCTTACATTTGGTCATAATGTCTGCATGGGCTTCTGGCCTGCCTGTGACAGTTTCTCGGATTCCCCTCAGCCTTGGATCCTTGACAGTTTTGCAGAGAGCTGGCCGGGTATTTTGCCGGATGCCCTCCTTTGGAGAATTGTCTAATCTGTTGTCTCAGCGGCATGTGAGAGACCACTCAGGCTTTGTGTGAGAAAAAGCTTTCTTCTTGTCCAGGTGTGAGCAAGGACTGAAACTGGGGCAGATTTCAGCAGCTGGCTGTGAAAGAAAACTAAGTTCATGTAGGGTTTGGGAGGGCGCTGTGATCATAAGAAATGTTTATGACTGAGGGTCCAAGGATGGTCAGTGCAGGTGTGCAGATACTCACTGGATTTCTCAGTGCCAAGGCAATTATATACTCTGTCCTAAATTTTCTTTCTGGCTCTCTGTCCCATTTACTGAGAGTAGCCTGTTTGCAGAGAGAGGTATGTTTGCTGTGGATGTCTCCTTCAGGCCAGGCATGACATAATCCTTTTCTCCTGTTTACAGTGGACTCTGGTATTTGGGGGAGAGAGACCAGAGCACAGTGGCATTCTGTCACCTCCTGTCAATGTGGCTTAGCCCACAACACCTTCATACTTTTTGGGGGGGGGTACCGGGGATCGAACTCAGGTCCTTGCGCTTGTGAGGCAGGCGGTGGAACCACTGAGCTAAATCCCTGGCCCCACACTTTCATTTTTGCAGTACCCAGTGCCTTGTGCATGCTAAGCAAATGCTTATCCCCAGCCCCACTTAGAATTAATTTACCCAATTTATAAGTAAATAATAATTAGAATATTAAACAAAATTCTAGATTCTTTTTTCAGTCTGGGGATGGAACCAGGGCCTTGGGCATACAAGGAAAGTGCTCTACCACTGAGCTCCCCCCAGCCCCGCCTGCACTTTTGAGATCTGGTTCTATCCTCCAAAGCTGGCGTGACTGGTCTGATTTTCCAGATAAGGAGACTGAGGCTCAGAGACAGTGCTGCACTGGGTCTCACATCCCAGGAGGCCCCTCTAGGTCTGCTGAGTTGCCCCACTGTTTGGTAATTGGCTTTGGCTCGTTTGCAGTGTTTTGGGTTCTGATAAATACCTCTGCTGTACACGGACTTTTTGTCCTCTCTCGGGTGACTTCCTGAGGGTGTGGTCCCCAAAGAGGGTCTGTGGGTCAATGGAGGCCGTGAGGTTTGTGTTGCCAGCGGACTCTTTACAATAAGCTAGAACCTGTTTCCAGGCTGTGAACGCCTGCTGCACGGTTTACCCACTTCCTCTCTGAGGTGCTCTGCATTTGTTATTTTTATTTGTTTTGCCTTGTTTCTTTGTCACACACTTCTTACCCCCGGCTGTTGGAGGATTTGGCACATGCAGCTTGCTGTCCACAGAACTCAAGATTACTTTCCAAGAACAAAGATTTAGCTTCGCTGACATGATTTTTAAAGATGTGGTGGTTTGGGCAGTGGTCAGTGGTGGCCTCTAGGGAATAAGCCACAGCCACTGAAGGTGACCACTGTGTTGGGACAACAGCTACTAGGACACGTGGTAGGCGTGGCACATATGTGACATTGTGACCCAGTCGTGTCTCATCTTTTGAGTATCATCTGGTCCTTTTCCCCACCAGTCAAGGCTGCTGTGAGCTTGGACAAGATGCCACTAGGAGCACTTCTGCACCCCTGTGATCCCAGCACTCTGGGAGGCTGAGGCAGGAGGATGACAAGTTCAGGCCCATCCTCAGAAATTTAGTGACTTGGCAAGAGCCCATCTCAAAAAACTAAAAAATTTACAGAGGGGCTATAGCTCAGTGTGAAGACCCCATGTTTGAGCCTCAATTCCACAAAAAGAAGAAAAAATGAGCACTTCCCAGAGCCAGCGAGGGCCCACACAATGTGTTCACACTGCATCCCTGGTCTTTCGTCTTTTTGGTTGGTTGATCTTTGGTGAACCTGTCAGCTAGGATGCAGGGCTTCTGGTTCCCCAGAGCTGCGGGGGGCAGAGAGCTTTAGGGGTGGCTCGGTGGCCTTGCTGGCCTCTCCCTGGCAGATTGGTCCAGGTGGCCACATAGCTCTCTGCACACTCTGTCTGGTACATGGCCTCCCGGAGGTGTTGGAGGATGGGCCTGGCCTGGGCTGCCTTGCCTGGGGGGATTTCATGCCAGGGGGCCACCCTGCCCCCTTGCACGGCCAGTGAGCCACTATTTTTATTTTTATTTTGGTACTGGGGATCGAACTCGGGACTTTGAGCTTGCGAGGCAGGCACTGGAACCACTGAGCTAAATCCCTGGCCCTAGTGAGCCACTGGTAAGTGTCACTGTAGGCTCAGCCACGACCTGGCCCCTGTGTAACCCTGAGGCGTCCTGGAGTGGAGGGCAGGGGCTGGAGACAAGCAGGTAAAGGCCATGCCACAGAGGCTGGCATGGAAGGGAGGGAGGTGGCCTGAGGGCCGTTGTCCTCTCCATCGCCTGTCTCGAGGTCCCCCAGTGAGTTTTGCAGGGCCTCCAACCCCGAGAGGCTCCCTGGGCAGGTGGCAGCAGCCGCAGACCTACTTTGGCCCACATAGGCCTCCTGGGCTGTGGTCGGGGCGTGTGCCTTTCCTGAACCAGTTGCCTTGCGTGTGCTGGGGGTCTGGGGAGGGGTCCTGGTGGCCTTTGGTGTAGTCCCTCACTCGAAGAGCGGCAGGTAGCAGAGGGAGTGAGGTGGGGCTCCTGGTTGTCCAACCACAGCTGGAGAAGTGAGTGCTTGGGAGGTGACTGCTGACCCTCCTCCACCTTGCCCATTGAGCTCCAGGCTGAGGACCCCCGGGCCAGAGCTCCGTGCCACCACCCCTGACTGTGGGGTGCCATTTGCTGACGGGTGGGAGAGGCAGGGACGCGGCTGCCAGGCCGCCCTTGATGAGTTTGCTGTCCTTTTGCTTCTTCCAGATTCCAGATCCAGGAGGAGCCTGACGGTAAGGACCCCTTCCTCACTCCGGCCCTGCTTTGTGCCCCTAAATCTCACTCCTCTCCTATCAGATCTGCAGCTCCTCAGGCTGCCGGGGCAGGGGAGGCTCCGGGACCCCCACCCTGTGCCCAGAGATCAGCCCCGTGGAGAGCTATGGGCACAGGGCTGGGCCTGGGGCCTCAGCAGACCTTGGCCAGGGCCCCAGCTCCACCCTGGGCAGCTTCCAGCTCCTGGCCTGGATGCAGGGGATTTTCCAGAAAGGCTTGCCTATGGTAATTTGGTTTTGGCCACTTTGGACACCAGGTCTGGTCGGGGAGGAGGCGGTGTAGTATTTTTCCCCTTTCCTCCTTCCTTCTATGAGTCTCGTCCCCGAAGCTGGGTGACAGATTGGTAGCAACGATTCTTTAAAGATCGACTCCCACATATCAAACACTTACTCTGCGCTGGGGACCTGTGTGCTTTCTGGAAGCTTTTCCTGGGTCCTGTTCCACACCCAGAGCTTGGCTCTCTTATCTCGGCTTTCAGAGGAGGAGCTGGTAGCTCAGACAAGTCAGGGATTCTGGAGCTGGAGGCGCTGTTAGGATGGAGCCCTGCACTGGGGGACCCTAGGGCTGGCGCTGGGCCCTGTCCCCTGAGCTGCGAGGTCACTCATGGGGCGCTCACCATGCATCTGGCTTGGGGCTGTGGCTTTGCAGATGCCGCTGTGACTCTCAAGCCACTCATGTGGGCTGCGTGCAGGGTGCGGGTCCTGGCGCCTCCCCCGGCCCAGCTTCCGGGGTGGTGAGGGATGGGTGGGTGAGGGACACCATCCTGGGGGACGGCATCTGTGTGAGGCTGTCTCTCGGGTGTGGCTCACATGGTTTTTGTTTTGTTTTTTCATTTATTGCTTTTTCTATTACTTTCTTTTAATCCTAGCCTTCCTGTGCTAAGTTCCTGTTCTTTAAACACAAATACAGAACCATAGTTCATTTCAAGCGATGCATACTCACATTCAAATAGGCCAGGATCTGACAAGTTGTTCCCATCCTGAGGAACTTCATGAAAAAAGATATTTGATGATTTGTAAGATAACAAAATATGACTTTGCTACATGGGCCAACCCATTCTACTCACTTATTTAAATGGGCAGTCTTTTGGCCTTCAAATTACTATAAAAGAATATTCATGATTACATAGGTAGATATGCTTTCCGAATCTCTCAAACTCCTTTTTTAAAAAAAATCTTTTGGAGACAGGGTCTCCCTATGTAGTTCGGGCTGGCCTTGTACTCACAGGAGTCCTCCTGCCTCAGCTCCCAAGTGCTAGGATTACAGGCATGTGTCACCACACCCGGCTCTGACTCCTTTTGAAGACTGAGAGTGAATATTATTTATTACCGTATGGGACCACCTTTCCTTTGCATTTACATGTAAGAGTAAAAAACAAACCAATACTCTCCTAAACACAGCACTTTTTTGGAAACACATTAGGGTCCTTAAAATAAAAGGCTTCTGTTGGAGGAGGTCAGGGCTGGGGACCTGGGCCGGAAAGCTCCAGAAGGCAGGGGCCTGGAGGAGACACCAGCATTCAGGTCCCGGGCAGGTACTTACCGACTCTGGGTGAATTACTCCACCCCTCTGTGCCTCAGTTTCCTCATCTATGAAAGGGGCAGGTGCTAGTATGACGCAGGTCATATTTAGGGGTCGAGAGGGTGAACATGTCCGTGTCTCAGAACCAGCCAGACACAGGAGGAGCTGCCTGCAGCTTCATTTGTGCAAAGTGAAAGCATCCAGTGTCCCCAGAGAGACTCCACACAGGTCCCTCGAGCTGTCAAAGCTCAGCAGACCCAGGGTGGCCTGGGGCAGCTCTAAAGCAGAGGGGAGGCCCCCTCGGGTCAGAGGTGGGGAGTTGGGTGACATCCTGTCTCAACACCCGCTCTCCTTCCGCAGCGGCCCGGGAGTGACAGGTCAGGGACAGAGCCGGGCACAGGGGCACTGAATGTATCAAGCCCCTGGGTCGAGGAGACCTGTGCCAGTGTGGGGGCGGCCTGCCCCGAGAGCCTCCTGCTGCTGGATGACAGTCCTCCCGGGGGTGCCTCACCTCCCAGGGACCCCCCTGAGCCCCGGGAGTCCACAGAGCACACCAACAACCGGATCGGTGAGTCGGCCTGTTTGTGGGGTGCAGGGGCAGCCAGTGGGGTGTGGGGCCTGGACGGGAACCAGGGCCCAGCGGGACAGAGATGTGGGCGCCCCAGGCCACAAGGTGGGCTTCGCCTGCCCGGGTGCAGGTTCTGCCCAGGCCGAGGGACAGGAGTGTGTGCTTCTGGGGCCACTGGGAGACTCCTGACATCCTGAGCCCGGGGTGCCATCCACAGCACCGCGTCTGCTATTATTAAAGAGCAAGCGGAGTCCCTCCCCCAGTCACCAACATGGAGCCCCTGAGGGGACGGGAGGAAGACAGACGAGGGACTTCAGGATGAGGTTCAGGGTTCCTAACCTGGCCACAGCCAGCTGTCCTGGCCCCAAGCCCTCCTGACCCCCCTGTCTGCTTTCCCCATTTGTGGATCCTTCTTCTCCTCTCAGCGTCTCTGTGGGAGCCGCTTCCCCCCCGAGAACAGCCAAGAAGCCTTCCTGCCTCTCTACACCTGGAGGCCGGGTGCCCCTCTGCTCTGTGCCGAGAGCCCAGCTTCCCCCGCTCAGTGTCCCCAGCTCCCGGCAGTGTGCCTGTCCACACCTTGCACGCCAACCTGCTCGGGCACCTGGCCCCTGGTGGGTGGGGAGAGGCATTTGTAATGGTTCCCCACATTCCTGCTGCAGGCGCTGGGGGCAGAACTGCAGGGCGTCTTTCGTCTTGAACAAACTTTTGCAATTGTAACTTTCAGTAAGTTGTATTAGAAAAGAATGCATTTTGGGAAATACTGTCAAGGGTTTCTCCTTTGGATTTCCTAAGAAGTCCTAACCAGAGGGTGTGAGTCCAAGCAGAGCCTGGGAGTATGGGGCTAGGGAGTGGGGCAGCCTTGCCCAGCCTCCTGCCAGCCTCTCGGGGGCACAGGGCACCCAGGGGAGGCCTTGGGGGTCCTCTCAGACACCAAGATGCAGGTGACCCCTTGTCCCCTGATACTCCCGAGAGGCACCCCGTCCACTTCCAAGGCAGGAAGAAGTGTGGGTCTCCCGGGCACCAGGTGGGAGCCCTCTGCCTCATCATGACAGCTGCCTGGCGCTTGGGGGACCCCAGAGGGCCTAGCAGCCCTGGAAGACCCCACAGCTATGGGTGGGGACCCTAGGATTGGGCAGAGCTAGAGGTCCCGCCTGGCTTTCGCCCGAACCACCCCGGTCCCCACACCCTGCGATCTTGCTGCTGTCTCTTCACTGTTGCCCCTTCTGTCCTCCTCTGGCCACTCGCCACCTACGGACACCTTGCCTGTGACCTCTGGCTCTGCCTCTTGCCCAGTTCCTCTGATCGGGACTCAGGCCTGTGTAGAGGTTATGGGCTGAGGCCTGGGTCCCTCCCTGGTCTCTGTTTGTCCCTGAGCTGGTCCCTTTCCTTTGCCTGGCCCCTGGGTTCCTATTGTTATTTTTATTCTTTTTCTTTCCTGGGAGAGCCAGAAACCAAAATAGCAGAGCTGACATTGTGCAATGAGGTTGAGGATGCCAGGGCCCCTGGGAATCTTTTCTGAGGGTCCTGAATCTGAGGGGTGTAACCGGGTTACCCAGAGAAGCAGGGGTCCCTGAGCCCTGTGCCCCACACACCTACTTTCCAGTTCCCTCTTGAGCTTCCGCATGTGGTCTCCAGGGCCCCGGGGCAGGACAGCTGAGAGCTGGAGCCTGGCCTGAGTCCGTGGGCATCAGCGCTGGCCCCAGCCCAGGCTCCCCTCCGGCTTCTTGGTAGCCTGTCTCCCCCGAGCCTCCACATCCACATCCATGATGGAGCCCCCGCATCAGCGCTGGGTCATCCAACCCAGCCACACTGACCCAGCACCCACTCTGTGCTTGCAGGACACCCCGGAACACTGGCCCAGCCCCTGGCTGCTGCTGCTGCTCGGCAGAGCCAGGCACCTGCAGACCACCTGCCAGGCAGGCTTGCCCACACTGAGGGGCTCCCGGGAGGCAAGCAGGGACAGCTGGTCACCCAGGGTCTGCTTCAAGCCTGTGGATGGAAGCCGGAAGGGCAGCCAGCCAGGGTGGGGGTTTCCTTTGGGATTTCACTTGGTGACCTTGGAGAGGTCCTTTGACCTTGCTGGGCTTGAGGTTCCCATCTGTGAAATGGGGACAACCTTGGCAGAACCTCAGACTTGGTGTGTGGCAGTGACACGTGCCCAGCCGATGCCCAGCTCTGCTGCCTGCCCTAGTCCGGTTGCCACCCTGTGCTGCCCCCAAAGTGCCTAGCAGGTCGCCTTAAGGAGCAGGTGCCCGGCTGTGTGCAGCAGAGGCTGTGTCACCTGCCTGGAGTCACACAGCAGGAGCTGCGGGAGAGGGACTTGGCCCCTCCGCTGTCTCCTTGCTCCTGTCTTGGGCCTCTGGTCTCCCTGCCTCAGCCGACCCTTTGCCTTACAGAGAAGATCTACATCATGAAGGCTGACACAGTGATCGTGGGGAGTGTGAAGACGGAGGTGCCCGAGGGCCGGGGCACCGGGGGCACCGTGGGCCCAGCGGGGCCTGGGCTGGAGGCCGAGCTGGAGGTGTACCACGCCCCCCACTACCCTGAGCAGGAGACAGAGCCGCCCCTGGGCAGCGGCGGGGACATCGTAATGTTCTCTGTGGAGGAGGAAGGGAAGGAGGACCCCTGGCCCCGTGGGAAGTGAGACCCAGGCTGGACGGGGGCGGGGAGGGTGGCCGGGGGTCCTGGCAGGCCAGAGTGGCACTGGAGCTGCCCAGCTGGCGGGCAGGGGCCACACAGTGTGGGCTGAGGCCCCGGCATCCCACGGCGGACCACCGATGGCCAAGCTGCCTCCCGTGGCTGCCGAGAGTGCTGGGCCCAGACTTGGCACCAGACACTCAGTACCAGGGCCGGTGCTCACCGAGAGAGGGGACACGAGGCCGGTCCCGTGTGCCCCTGTGCCCTCCTCTCTCCCTGGGCCTCAGCAGTGATGCCCATCGGGCCTTGCTGGCCTCCTGCCAGCCCCCAGTTACTGTAAACCTGGCTCCCAGTGGGCTGCAAGCCAGCCTTGTGGCTTTCTCCTGAGTCAGAAGGGAAGTTGAGGGATGAGGTGTCATCACTGCTGTCGCTGGCACCATCTGGGCTGCACCATCGCATGGCTCTCTGCACTGGGGAAGACCCAGGAACCACGCACTTGTCTCCAAATGTCCCGCAGTCGCCACGGCAGGAGGATTTTGAGACCCAGGTGCCTATAGGCCTTCAGCATCTCAGTGCCAGGCCCCAGCTGGAGACTCCATCCACCAGCTGCCATGGAGAACGGCCTGCCCTGCTCTGCCCAGGGTCTTCTCCCAGTGAGGAGTCTGAGCAGCGGCCCTTCCTGGACTGCTCGGCAGCCCCACCCTCATGGTCTTGGGAATCAGAGGCCTCTGTCCTCGATCTTCCATGCTTGTGGAGCCGTTCGCCCTGGCCCTGTACCCGTCAGGTGTGGGCACCGGAAAGCCCCTGGCCTCACACGGACACCCGGCCTCACTCTGCACCAATGGGAAAGAGAGCGTTTGGTGGTTGCAACTGGATTTTGGGCGCTCTGTGGTAATGTGAAGGATCAGAGTTGCTCCGACTTGCAGCTTGTGGCCTGGTCTCTGGGTCTCTTTAGCAAACAAGTGGTGATGACACATCTGTGGGTCAGCCTCGAGGAGACCCCTGGACTTACCCACGAGCTGGGAGGCTGTGTTTACTCCCCAGCCTTCACTCTCTGGAGGAAGTTGAGGCTGTCTCAGGAGTTAGAAGCGTAGTTTCGGAAACCACTCAGATGTTTTGGGGAAAGCTGGAACAGCTGGGCCACTTCGAGAGGTGCTCACACACCGGGCCCTGGACCTGGGCCAGGGGGACTTTGAGTGTCTGCCGCTGTCTCGTGCCGGGATGGAGTGGGTGTGCCCAGCACGCTGCAGCCAGGAGGAGCCGTGGGCACCACAGGGCATGCTGAAAACCTTGGCTAAATAAGGCAGGCACTCGCCCAGTGCCCTTTGCACAATTTTTAACCATCTAAAAATCCATAAGATCCTTTACAAACAATGAATCATGTGGCCCAGCAGGGATTATGGAGATAACATTTGAGAGGCTTGGAGCAGGAGCGTCACAGGATTCCCTCCCCAGGGCTAGGCTCCTTCTTCACCCCGACACTCATGGCCAGGGACAGGAGCTGCTCCCTGCAGGGGCTCCCCCTCTCGCTGCACAAAGCCCTTCCTTATCCAGCAAGGCTGCTTCTCCCTCCATGTAACCCCATTTCCTGCCCCACAGCCTACCCTTTGAGGACACTCAGAATATCATAGTCTTGTCCTAGGTCACCTCTGGGTGCTTGCAGAAGGGATCAGAACCTCTCTGGGGCCAACTCCTCCCTGGGCTGGCCGAGCAGCCCAAGGCTTGGAGAAGGAGACTCCAAACAGTGAGCCAGGGCCCAAGCCCAGAGCAGCCCAGGGAGGACTGTGGGTCTTGGGCTTCTGGGGCTGAGCCAGAGGGACCCCAAGCTCCCCCGGCACAGCTCCCTTGACTGTGGCTCCCAGGTGGGGTGAAGACCAAGGGCCATGAGGAGACCTTCCCCCCCCCCCCAGCCCCCCCCCCCCGCCCCCGCCACAGCCTGGCTCCTGAACCCATGCATTCAGCCCAGGGAACAGTGATGTATTCAGGTCCATCTTGACCTCTGATTGCTTTGATGTCCCCCAGGCAGATGCACAAGGCCCCTGCTCTGCTGGGTAGCAATTGTCAGGCTGCAACCCCTACCCACCCACCTTCCTGGCAGATATAAGCAAGAATAAGTGTCCTACGGAAGCTATTGCCTTCAAGGAAAAGCCATTGTTGGGCTGGGGATGTGGCTTGGTGGTCCACGCCTGCCTCGCCAGTGTAAGGTCCCAAGTTCGATCCCTAGTACTGGAAAAGAAAAAAACAAAAAAACCCCATTGTTTCCCATCAGTGAACCATTCCTCGGTTCCTAGAAGCTCTGAGGCCTGGCACCAGTCCCTGATACAGAACTAGAGGACCAATCTCCCCTCCCAACAGGGTCCTGAGGACTCAGCACTGGGTCCTGGCCAGTTGTCCCCTGGTCACCAGGCACTGCTGTGTAGAAGGGTTGGAGTTCTGCCTTCTCGCCTGCAGATGGAATGGCGCCCCTGGGCGAGAGCCAGGCTCGAATCTCAGCTCTGCTAGAGTTTGTTCCATGACCCCTCTCAGGCTCGGAAGCTTGGTTTGTTCTCTGTTGCTCTAGCAACACCTGAGCCGGGGAAGTTTCTGAAGAGCTTGGGCTCACCCTTCTGAAGAGGCCCAACTCTGGGAGTCCACGTTGACTTGCAGTGAAAGAGGGAGGTGCGGTAGGCGTGAGTGAGGAGCAGGACGCCAGCGACACCTGTTTCTACAGCCCATTCTTGTGGTACGTGGTCCCGTTCCTACTCAGGAGGACACAACACCCCCAACAGTGTTAACTGACTCTCCGAGATGCTATGAGTGACCCGATCCGCCCTTCAGGGCAATACCGCACCACAGTGGCAGCCAAGTCACAACACAACGGAGTCCTGGAGGGAACAAACCGTGGCTTTCACTTTCCACCACTGTGAAACAGGAGTATCAGTTCCTGCCTGATGGAGTCGCGAAGCTTCCCTGAGATGTCACCTGACTGGTGATGTGCACTCCCTGACCCTAAGTCTGTCTCATTCCATCCCAGGAGCCAGCCCGTCCTACACCACCAAATTCAGCCCTGTCCTGCTTACAAGGGGTCACCTGCAAATGACACTGGAGTCAGGGAAGGTGTCTCCAAAGGGCTCTGGGCCCCACCCAAGTGATGTACCAAGCTAGCAAGGTCTGGAAGGGAGGGAGTGTCTCGTGCAAGGGCCCTGGGGTGAGAAGGCTGCTGGCCATGCTGTTTGGGAAGGGCACTGGGTGGGGCAGCTTGGTGAGTGAGGTGGGTGACAGGAGGTTTGCAGGGGCAGATGGTCTCTGAGCCTGGCAGGGTGAGCCATTGTGAGGTGTCAGATCTTATCACAGAGCACCACTAGATGTTTACTTCTGTTTTCCTCAGTGTTAGAACAATGAGTGACCTGGCATTTTCCCAGCCCTGAGTGAGAAAGGCCAAGCCCCAGGCATTAGCAGTTCTATTAACCTATTTCAGAAGGAAGCTGGGGCAGTTGCTGGTAGCCAGGAAGCACTTGGATGTGTTTTCCAGAAAGGGCAGGGAGCAAAGACAATGTTCCTGGTTACTGTTCTGGCGGTGGGGCTCGCCTGGTGCCGCCTGGGGAGGGTAGGACTCACTCCTGTAGGTTCCTTTTTCTTCAGGCATCTTTGAGGGGAAAATCGCTGGGGAGGCTGAAGCCTTTGTTTGTGCTCTGGCCCTGGGTCTGCTTCCCAAGGTCCTAGCTGGGGTTTGTCATCGTGGCCAGCAGGGCCTGCCCTGTTTTTCTGATTGCAAAGCCAGACAAGGATTGAATCAAAAAGGAGAATTATAGGCCAATCTCCCTAATGAACATAGATGCAAAAATCCTCAATAAGTTTCTGGCAAACAGAGTACAGCAAATCATCAAGATCATACACCGTGACCAAGTGGGGTTCATCCCAGGGGCACAGGGATGGTTCAACATATGCAAATCAATAAATGTAATATGCCATAATAACAGAGCCAAGGACAAAAACCGTATGATCATCTCAATAGATGCAAAAAAGGGGTTTGACACAAGCCAGCACCCATTCATGATAAAAAAAAAAAACCTAGAGAAAACTGGAATGGATGATCTTTATCTCAATCTGATAAAAGCCATCTACGACAAACCAACAGCCAACATCATATGAAATGGACAGAAACTGAAAGCTTTCACTCTAAAATCAGGAACAAGACAAGGATGTCCACTGTCACCACTCCTGTTCAACATAGTTCTGGAAGCATTAGCCACAGCAAGTCGACAAGAGAAGGAAACAAAAAGAATAAGGATAGGAAAGGAAGAAGTTAAATTATCATTATTTGTGGATGACATGATACTGTATATAGAAGACCCCAAAAACTCCACCAAAAGACTTCTAGATTTGATAACCAAATTCAGTGGCATAGGCGGATACAAAGTCAACACTCAAAAGTCAATAGTTGGGCCAGGGATTTAGCTCAGTGGTTCCACCGCCTGCCTCACAAGAGCAAGGGTCCGAGTTTTATCCCCAGCACCGCCCCCCCCCCCCGCAAAAGTCAATAGTCTTCCTGTATACAAATAACAGACTCCTGGAGAGAGAAATTAAAGAAATAATCCTTTTCGTAGTAGCATCCAAAAAAATGAAAAACCTGGGAATCAATCTAACAAAAGAAGTAAAAGAATTCTACATTGAAAACTACAGTACTCTGAAAAAGGAGATTGAAGAGGGTATCAGAAAATGGAGCTGGGTGTGGTGGCACACACCTGTGATCCCAGCACTCAGGAGGCTGAGGCAGGAGGATCGCTGAGTTCAAGGCCAGCCTGAGGGAATAGTGAGACCTTGTCTTAAAAAACTAAAGAAAAGGAAAGATATGCCTTGTTCTTGGATAGGAAGACCCATTATAGTGAAAAATGGCCACACTTACAAAATTGTTATACAGAGTCAATGCAATCCCAATCAAAATCCCAATAGAATATCTCACAGAATTAGAAAAAAACTATCCTAAAATTCATTTGGAACCAGAAGAGACCTAGAATAGTAAAGGCAGTTCTGGGCAATAAAGGCAAGGCAGAAAGTATAGTGAGCCAGAAAACGATTTCTGAGTCAAAATAAAGGTTTTCCCTGTGGCTAGCTGACCTAACTGACAAAGAACCACCCCTGGGTCTTACCCCCTCCCACACCTATCCCATGTCCTCCTTCATTGTCCTTTGTTTTCAGTAAATGCCTGTATCCAGTGTACTTTTTTTATCAAATCATGTAAACTAAATGTAACTTCCTCAACCAATGAACTGATGATAAATGCCTTGCTTCTGTATCCCCACCCTTCTTCCCTTGTCCCATATAAACCCTGTTCACTGCCAGCTCTGGGATGATTGCTTTGTGGAGAAATCCCAGATAAGCCCGCCGGCATAATAAAGCTGTACATTTGCTTCCAACCTCTGGGTACGTTCTCAATTCTTCTTGGCCTGATCTTGCTCTACCACTAAGAGCTGCCACACTGTGGACTGTAACTCTGCCATTACATTTGGTGCATTGGCCAGAAAAACTGACCTCACTGATTGATTAAAATCACCAGTTGAAGCCCTTGTGAGGGAGCGGGGACCTCTCCGGCCCCTTGACGGAATGGCACGCTCTCAGAGATTTCTCTGAGTCTCCTCAGAGGACTGGGGATGAACTGCTCACAGCCTGGATCCAGATCCAGAAGGAGTGAGGATGCTCATTTGGTTTAGTCCAGTCTGGCCATCAGGTCAGGTAAGACCCCCCTGGGGGGGCATCCTAGTTAATTTGTTTAATCCTGCCCTGCTCAGGCAGAAGGAGGGCTTGGTCACCCCTGTATGAGAACAAACGTGTCCTGCTTATTTTTGGTTTAGTTTCAGTTTCTGCCTGCTAGCTTGAGAAGAGAGAATCCCTGGAGAGAGGGTTGGAGTGTTTAACCTCTGAATGCCTGGAGAGTGTGGGTATGAATGAATGCAACTGGATACTGTCCTCAGTACCTCGTCCGTGTGGCTCACAGGGAAGAGAGGGGAGATCCCTCTTGGACCTAAGGGTCTGACTGAGTTTGTTCTGTGATTCCGTGGATGGATCTAAGAAAGGCCAAGTGGGGGCTCTTGTGATGAGATAACCCCTCAAGCCTGGATGGTCCTTAAAGTGGCTGAGAGGCCCATGGCCAGAGGAACGCTTGCTTGGTCCTTCCCTCAGGGGAAGGGCACCCATCCTTTGTCTGTGTGTGACTCCAAACAAAAGAACACTACATACACCTAGGGAGCTAACCAGAATGGGTGCAAGTCAATCCAAACCCACAGTGTTAGAATGTATGCTAAAAAAATTTAGGGAGGGCTATACTGGTAATTATGAAGTAAAAATGAAACCCCAGAAGCTGCGTACCTTCTGTGAGATTGACTGGCCAAAACTCTGCCCAGAATGGCTGCCAGAGGGAACGCTGAATGCAGACATTGTCTGCCAAGTTTGGAACAAAGTTGCTGAGACCAACGGAGGAGGCCACCCTGACCAGTTCCCTTATATAGACTCCTGGCTTAATCTTTGTTTAAACCTGCCACTATGGCTCTGTGTTTGGGCCTTGAAAAGGCCAGGAGCCATTTTAGAGGTGCAAAAGAGCCCCACCAGTCCTAAAAACAGTGGTAGGAGGAGCTGCCCAGTGCCTGCCTGGGAACAGCCCCAACTAGAGACTTTATCCAGTCTTCCCAGAGGAGCCTTCTCAGGAAGAATCAGGGTCATCACTTCTTGGCCTTTTGGCTAAGATCAAGTGTAGCAAGAATCAGGCTTTCCTCTGCCTTATGTGCCACAACGCTGAGCCACAGTGCCAACATCTCCATCTCCTCTGGTGCCTGCCCCTAGTTCTATGCGAGCATTGCCTGATTCTTCCACCCAGTTGCCGCCATCACAGCCAGCGGCGGTACCGCCCATCTTCCTGTGATGTCACCTGACTCCACCTC